AAAGACTGCTTGACCAATCATTGTGAAGATCATTGTACTGGCAGTACTACAGAAGAGGAAGATGCTAACATAGATGACCCCATCATTCTCTCTGAAAGGACTTTTTAATTTTGCTTATTGAGAAGTTTAATTCAAATTAAAGTACTGAATGAAAATGGCAGTGTTTTTAATTACGAAACAGTTGCAATGCATCACCAAATTTTATTTAACATTTTGAAGTAAAGTTTAGTCAGGATAACTAAAAAGATAACTAGGAGTATTGGATAAAAAATAAATCTAAAAGTTAATTTTAAATATAAATTAAAATAAATTTATAAATATATTTAAATGTACGACTTAAGTAATTTTTACAAACAAAAGGTCAATTAAATTTACTTAGAATTCCCCAAGTAAACTTAGCATTTCAAATTCGATGTACTAATAATTTTGGTTAATATTTTACTTGGCAAAGCTTTGAAGATTTACTAGCCTTTTCAGAGTGAAAAACCTTTTTTAATTAAACCCTACTCTTCATTTTTTACAGTGTACCTAGTAAAGTGGCCGGTGAGTGTATATTGCATATGCAACTGAATTTCTCATCCCTGAACTGCAATAAACTGTGTATCTAAATGCCACTTTAGATGCAGCTCACAATGTTTAGGTATCAGGTAAGCAGCAGTGACAAAAGTAGACTGCATTGTCACCTTGTGTTGGCTGCGTCTGGGTAAAATCTGCACTTGAACACACTCATCCCATTACTCTTCGCCTACTATACTTGTCTTGCTCTGTATTGTGCAACATAAGCTCAATTTATTACTATATTTACCTGAAATGCAGCATCCCACTGAAAGTTCACAGAAGAAATAAGACAGAGTGTGTGACTGGCTTTTTTAGGCCAGCAATGAGAGCAGATGAGTCAATCAGCAGCCTGTCATCACTGTCATAATAAAAAAAAGGCAATGTCCCAAGCAGTCAGCTGCTTGTTCTCACAACTTTCGTATCAGCAAATTAGTATGTCAGATGGAAAGGTCAACAAATCCAAAAGCAACACAAGTGTCACCAGTATTTACATTCTTAATTCTAAACACAGCATTCAGGTTTTTGTCTCTCATCACCCGACTATAAAGGTTATGCATTGTGTAAATGTCTGTGTGTATGCAATGCAACACAGAACATAATGCATTGGATCTGTTGAGCCATATGTCAGACCGCTGCCCACAAGGCTATAGGGCTGCATCAACAGTGCCATTTTTATCCTGACAATCAATCTTGATCATGTATTTTATTTATGCTGAGGCACTAAAACATGTCTGGGACACCATAGGTATTTTTTATTTATGTCAAGCTAGGCAGAACAAGTGATTGAGTAGGTGCTGGGAAAAGACAATGACAGCAATGTATTCTGGGATTTGGTTACTTGAACCACTGAGGCATAACTATTTGAAGACTCCACAGCTCAGTCTGTGAATTTGTTCCAGGCCACATTTGTTCTTATATCCTGCTTTCACGGATCATACATGGTTAAATATGCAAAACAGCATGTGAACTACAAAAGCCAGACAGGCTTAAATGTGGCAGACGTCGATTATCTCAGTAAAGTCAACATGAAACACTGTCAAAAGTTCTCCAATTAAATTACCTTACAAGTCAATTCAACTTACAGTACATTTATCTGACTTCAAAGAGGTCGCATGACTTGATTAAGTTGAAACATGCCTAACATTTTGGTTAAATTAATGTAAAAACATATGTTAACATTACTTTTTTCACTGCTAAGTGACCACATTTCTTCCCTCCTGTGAATTTTAATCGCTCATTTTGCTCTCAAGCCCCATTGTATATATTTGTTTTGAAATCATCAGAGATGGGAAGTAATGAAGTACAAATACTTTGTTACTGTACTTAAGTAGATTACTCTGGTATCAGTACTTTACTCCACTATTTATTTTTATCTAACTTTTTATTTATACATTTTTACACAAATATCTGTACTTTCTACACCTTACATATTTAAACCAGGCTCGTTACTTGTGTTTTCATGTGTCTGGTGTAACGTATCTGGTGTTTTTTTTTTTTTGTCATTGCGCAAATTGAACCCCTTTTTGATTGAGTATATTTTTTTCATTGTGCGCATAAGCACTGCTTTTTTAACCATTTTCATTTAAATTAGTTTAAAAAATGTTTTAACATCAAAATTATTTACACTGGGTGATTTATGAATAAAATTATAATGAAAAAGAAAAATCTGGAATTTATCACGTAAAAAAAAGTTTTGGAGGCAGTAATTGTGCCTGTGTATGCTATTATTATTATTATTATTTGCATAAAATAAATGTATTAACAGCATTAACGACTATATCTAGGTAAAAAAATATCCACAATACTCTGGAAAAACAAAGAAACACAGAAAACATGGGATATTTGGATTTTAGTTTTGAAGATACAGAAGCAGCTTTAGCCAAACACCCAAAATAGTAAAAAGAAAGTATTTATTATAGTAAAAAAAAAACAAATGCTTTGAACAAAATTAAGTGTTAATTGAAGACGTTTATTATTTGTAAAGATATAGGCCTCATTTTATTTTAGAGTATACGAATTTTCATTAATGGCGGTTGTTCTTGATTTAAAAGTAGCAAATCTACATGCTAAAGGCTGTGAGTTTGTGTCAGGATGATGATACACAAAATTCTGAGCAGTGTTGTGATGTTGCTAGGCTACTTTCCAACTGAAAATTTGCAACAACTTTTACGTCAAAATCAGAAATGTAAGTTATTTTGTATAAATGTATCGGTATGAAGTGAGGTCTAGTTGCCAGCGTGAAACCAAAACAGGAAGTAGTAATGTATACTTTTTACTTAAGTACATATTTCAGGCCGTTCTTCTTTACTTTTATTTGAGTACAAAAGTGTAGTCAGTACTTCATCTTTTACTAGAGTCATTTTAAACATGAGTATCTGTATTTCTATTTGAGTAAAGCATGTGTTTATTTTTGCCATCTCTGGAAATCATTGATGATAACATTACAATATTTCATTTAAAAGTATAATTCATGGTGATTTTAACCTAATTTCTACTGAAATCACTTTGTGTGTGCTTAGTCATAAAAAACTGGAGTGGTTCTCAACCACATGTTGACACAAGCTCAAAGTGTTTGACAGTCCTTACCTTGTGTAAAGTCTGAGTAAACACTTTGCTTAGGCTCGTCATCATACATTGGTACACCATCACTGCATTCGTCTTATTACCAGGTGAGGGAGTACATGTTGGTCCAAGAAAGGCCATAAGGAACTGGTTGCCAAGGCGACAACAGCAAGAAAAAAAGACAGTCCTTGCAAAGCAAACCAATTTACCTCAGTGACGTAGAGGATGAGCAGTCAGTGTCGGTGTATGTGCAAATGAGTCAAAGGTTCATGAGATAATTACATTAACACTGTTTATGCAGCTTTCTAAATTCAGTGTTAACCTTGTGACAAGTTTAATCTAAAATCTGACAGGATGAGAAATGCAGCATGCATGACATAATGTTATCAAGATTGCCATCCTTGGCACCACACTCCCCTAGTGACAATGAAAGAGGGCAACCATATCTATGAAGCCATTGGCCAATGAGCATTCTAGTACTAACTCCTTATTGGCTAGCTCATCCAATCACCTTACACCAATGAGATTTCTTGTATCCATGAGAATGAAGCTTGTAGGGCTATTTAAAATCCTAACACAGAGCCAAAAGATGGCACATGTGTGCATTTTACTTCATGAGGAACTGAGAAAAAAGATATTTAGAGGGTCAGATAAACCATGGCAGTCTTGCGAAGTAGTTTTGTCTGCTGTATAATGGCTAAAATAGCCTATTGAACATCATGAGAGGATAAATTTAAAGATTTTTTTCCTCATGTATGTACTTTTTTCAATTATGTGGATTGGCTTATGAATAATTTTAATAGATAGTTTCAGTTAGGGTGTTAGACAATCCTGAAATAAAATATAGACACATTAAACATGGAAGACAAGGGCTTATACTAATTAGATGTTTATTTGGAATAAAATTACTAAATATTAATGTATGCAATGACTGTGCTACATTTACTCTATTGTAATTGTACAATTGTTTGCCTATTTTATTCTTAAATCAAACATAGTTTTAATAAAATGTATTTACCTAATAGACAAGGATGTATTCTTATCAAATTTGGAATGCAGCAAAGTTCTGAGGTAAATTAATTGAGTTAAAGCTGGTTTTATGTTTGCACATTCTTTCAGTGACGACTTGTGACACATTCTCTATAATGTTTACCGTGATACTTTTAGTCTGAAATCACACATGCAAGTATGACTTCAAAACAACATTAGCCCTATTTATTTGACTGTGAGCAATGTTGTAAGTTGATAGCCATTGCCTGCTAATAAGATTTCACTATTTAGAATTATACCAAGAATACTTTTCTGAAATTATATTATAAAGCAGAAATGAATATAAACCAACTTTACCCTAATGGGAAATGGCACTTAAAATGTCTCATTAGGGCAAGCTTATTTGTTATACTATCCTCTACTAACACAGTTTTTAATTTCATTTTTGTGTTATTCTGGCTTTATAAACATCATTTTACCTGATAATGTGTCGCTTCAGTCTCTTCACCTGGCATCTTTGTTGAACTTTGTGGTTTTTCATTAAACACTAAGAAGTAGTTTATAGGGAAGGAGTAAGATACATTTAGTTACAGCTTAATTTAAAATACACATATTTTATTTTTGTTTTAATAGCTCAGTATTTGAACTCTCACCTGAGTTTTCCCGTTATAGCTAAATAATGTTGTTTGTTATTGCTTCACAGGATGCTGACATAATACGCTGATATAAACGCTGATATATTAATTCATTCTTGTAAGCAATTATGCATTATGACTTCTAATTGGTTTGATTTAACCATTTAAAGTAGAAAATATAAAAAATATGACAAAAGGAAAGGAAGCACAAGCAGTTTACAGGTTTCCCACAACAAAAGCCTCAGTGTGTCACGTGACCATGCGCGTGGCCGTGATTACTCTTTTGGCTCGAGTCCCCTCTATTTGCTGTCACACACGCTGACGTTTCTGGATTAATGATGACCTTTTTAAAACAGTGAAACCAAGAATCGGCTTAAATCAAGGTAAAAGGACATTTTATGTGCTAATAGTCACATACCGTTCTGCCTTAAATAACAATACATTTGTTGATTAAGTGGACTGCAGGCAATGCTTTATACTAAAGAGATGTAAGTTATTGCTATTGTTTTGTTGGGTAACTTGTTTTTAAGATCGCATTCGATTCGAATGGTTTATTGTACGACTTTTTGTTGCAGTAACGCATTTAAAGTTTCTTTTTATGTCAGCCTATGTGTTTTAAATGTTTTGTTTTGCTACAGCCGATCTACTCTAACAGCGTTGCGTGTTTCTATGGCGACCGTGCGAGAACGCGCATGCTTGTCTTGCACTCTTGCACTGAGTGATAATACTCCGGTTTAGAAACAGTTCAACACGTGTTTGCGATGGAATTAATCCATGCTTTTGAATGTATTGAAAACAAGATATAATTTTAAAGTATTGGAAACTAAAATAAATAATCTGTGGAAAATGAAAATTCTGTGATTATTTACTCATCCTCTACTTGTTCCAAAACAGCTTGACCGTTTTGTTGAACACAAAAGAAGATATTTTGAAAAATGTTGGACAGCAATAGTCAGTCACTTCCGTAGTATATATTTTTATGGATGATCCTACTATTTCTGCTGGTTTCCAACATTCTTCAGCATATCTTATTTTGTTCAACCTAAAAAATAAATAAATAAAACATTTACAAACAGTTGCGTGTGAATGAATACTGAAGACATTTAAAATTTTTGAGTGAACTGTCCTGTCCATTTGATTTTGGTGAAAAATAACCCCTTTTCCCTTGTAGTTATGGAGCTTTCCACCCATTTTGGCTATCAGATAATGTAAGGTCTCAGACCCTTGAAATCTGTACGCATTCCTCTCATGGATAAAGCATGTCTATAATGGAGCTTCAGCAGAACAAAAGTGATGGTGTCTACATGAGCACTGGCCACAGGAGACAGACTAGTGCAGAGATAGTGTCAGAGGCTCGACGCTCTCTCAGATCTCTTGCCACACAGAGACCTTTCACACCTCAGGAGAAAAACCGGCAGCTCTTTGGAGAATCTTCATCTCGTGCACGTGATGGACGACCACCATCTGCATTCAGGTAAAAGGATGTCTCATGATTTGCATGCATTTTATGCTTGATGTAATATTTATTATAGAGATCAACAGTTACTGTGCACTTTTTCAAAGGCCTTGGTTCTGGCAGTATTGTTGTTGTTGTTGTTTTCTTGTAGGGACTGTAAAAAAACAACAACAACTAAAAATAATAATAATAATAATTAAAGAGTTTAAGCCACAATCCAAATAAACCAGCAACAGAAATGACATGGTTTTTGATTTAATACAAAAATAAATAAATAAATGATGTAAAAAGAATTTCAAAATGGACTTAATTGCTGTAGTGAGGAATTTACTGCGATTCCAAATGAGAATAACAAAATTAAAATATAATATAAATATAAATATATGGATTTAAATATATATATATATATATATATATATATATATATATATATATATATATATATGTGTGTGTGTGTGTGTCTTTATACACCCACCGGCCACTTTATTAGGCACACCTTACAAGTACGGAGTTGGACCCCATTTGCCTTCAAAACTTAATCCTTCATGGCATAGATTAAACAAGGTACTGGAAATATTCCTCCGAGATTTTGGTTCATATTGACATGATAGCATAACGCAGTTGCTGCAGATTTGTCGGTTGCACATCCATCATTCGAATCTCCAGTTCCACCACATCCCAAAGGTGCTCTATTGGACTGAGATCTGGTGACTGTGGAAGTCATTTGAGTACAGTGAATTCATCGTCATGTTCAAGAAACCTGTTTAAGATGATTCACGCTTTATGACATGGTGCATTATCCTGCTGGAGGTAGCCATCAGAAGATGGGTACACTGTGGTCATAAAGGGATAGACATGATCAGCAACAATACTCAGGTAGGCTGTTGCATTATGCTCAACAATGCTCAATTGTTACAAATTAGTTCAAAGTGTGCCAAGAAAATATCCCCTACACCAGGGATCACCAAACTTGTTCCTGGAGGTCTGGTGTCCTGCAGATTTTAGCTCCAACCCTAATCAAACACACCTGAATAAGCTAATCAAGGTCTTACTAGATATACTTGAAACACACAGGCAGGTGTGTTAAGGCAATTTGAAGCTAAACCGTGCAGGGCACCGGACCTCCAGAAATGGGATTGGTGTCCCCTGCCCGACACCATTATACCACACCCTGAACCGTTGATACAAAGCAGGTAGCATCCATGCTTTATGTTGTTGACACCAAGTTCTGACCTTACCATCCGAATGTCGCAGCAGAAATTGAGACTCATCAGACCAGGCAATGTTTTTCCAATATTCTATTTTCCAATTTTGGTGAGCCTGTGTGAATTGTAGCCTCAGTTTCTCTGGCATCAACAAGGCTTTTGCGCCCACAAAACTGCTGCTCACTGGATATTTTCTCGTTTTCGGACCATTCTCTGCAAACCCTAAAAGATGGTTGTGCATGAAAATCCCTGTAGATCAGCAGTTTCTGAAATACTCAAACCAACCCGTCTGGCACCAACAACCATGCCACATTCAAAGTCACCTAAATTACCTTTCTTCCCCATTCTGATGCTCGGTTTGAACTGCAGCAGATCGTCTTGGCCATGTTTACATGACTACATGCATCTAGTTGCTGCCATGTGATTGGCTGATTAGAAATTTGCGTTAATGAGCAGTTTGACAGGTGTACCTAATAAAGTGTCCGGTGAGTGTAAGTTTACTGTATAATGGCTATATATATATATATATATATATATATATATATATATATATATATATATATATATATATATATATATATATATATATATATACAAATATTAAAGTAGTTTGACAGTACAGAAAGATTGATTTGATCATTTGCAGTGTATAAAGGAAATGGGAAGCAGTGGTGCAAGTTTGGGAAATTTGTCACCATATTTGGTGTCATATTTGTAATATTGTTTTGCAACAAGGACCTGTTTTGGTGACATTTAAATATGTTCAGAGTGTATTTTTAGTGCTAAACAATAATCACACATTACCATTAGAAACATTACAACTGATCTATTATTGTCATTTAACAAGTAAATGCACATGAATTTACATCACAGCCATTATTGTCTTGTGCACGGAGTATGGATTTTAGCAGTGCAGAGGAGCAGATTCTACATATAGACATGTGTAGACGTAACCAATATCATTTAACATCATATTTTGTATGTTGATGGTCTTACAAATAAAATTATGTCATTATTAGATCCATAATTTCTAAATTTTTCATTTCAGAAAAGACAATTTGAGTGTTCTGGGAAAAAGACAGCAGAAGATAAATATAAAAAAATAAAATAAAACTACAAAGGGTGCATATTAGGGCTGATGGGCCCCATGGCTTGAATTGCTTAATCCTAATAATACTAAATCTGCCCCTGCATTTAGTCTTCATAGGCCACATTGTCTGGCAGCAGGAACATAAAATGTAAATGCATGCATGTAAAGCGAGCAGCTTTTGGGAAATTTGGTTGTATTCAAATAGGAGCTTGTTTTATAAATGAATTTCTAATGAAGCTATTTGGAAATATTGATAGTCGAGCATGTTTTTTTGGTGCAACTTGTTTGACTGCCAACTACTAAAACACTTACTTTAAACAAGTACTTGCTGTGCAAAGGATACAAATAACATTTTTGATAGTGCTGCCCAAAAGTTAATCACAATTAATCCAAAATAAAAGTTTGTTTTGACATAATATAGATGTGTGTACTATGTATATTGATTATGTATAAATAAATATACACTGCATGCATATATTTGAGAAAATGTTTATCTATATTTAGCTATCAAATGCATGCGTCCAATATATGTTACAAATTGTATGTAAATTAAATCACATGTACATAATAAATATATAGAATTCACATATATTATGCCAAAACATTTATAGTATGAATGTATGTAATACTGTCATACTGCATTTCCCATGTTACCGTGTTACAGTTGGTTACATCATTTCAATTCCATTCACAAATCCTCTCTCATGGCCTCATGGAAAAATTCCATGGCAATTTATGTATGCATGCCTCATATTCTTGCCACAATAAGAAAGTCATCTGGGCACTTTTTTGTGTTTAATTAAAGATTTCATTATGAATCATGAGTATTTTGTATTCATTTCAGCAATAAACCTTCAAAAAATAAAATGATGAGGTTTATCTATACTACTGGCTTAACTTGAATAGGTGCATATACTATATCAATAAACATCCATGTTGCTCAATGGTTTGTATTCAAAGCATTATAAATGATCATTGAACATCTCTATTATGTACATGTGATTCAATTTACATACAATTTGTTTCATATACTGTATATATACATTTTATATCTAAATATAGATAAACGTTTTCTTAATTATATGCATGCATGTGTGTATTTATATATACAAAAACAATATAAATAGTACACACATCTATATTATGTTAAAACACACTTTTATTCTGGAATAATTGTGATAAAAATCTATGAAATTCTTACTTCCAGATCCAGGCCTGTTACATTTTAAAACGTGCTTAAACATGAATTAAATAATATTAATATTAACTGCTTTATTATTACTATAAGACTGCCATACTGGTTTTAATTACCTTCTTAACCAAAATTGCCTTCTTTTCTAGTCTTCATGCCCGACATTTTGAAGCTCCTGACTCCAGGCCAGGATCTGGAACTCGTCTTAGTCCACTGGAACATGTAGGAGGCTTTTTAATCCTTTATGGCTGACTATTCAAATCAAAACAGGAAACACTAACTCTTAAAAACTCTCCATCTCAGAAACCCAGGGTGTCTGTTTCCCTGGATGAGGATGGAGGCGACGATGAAGCTGCTCATCCCAAACCCCCAGTGGAGCGAGGAGGTACTAGGACTGGATCGGGAGGTTCTCGTGCCAGACTGCTTAGAGCCACATCTGTCAGCAAAATACCACCTATGACACCAAATGCAAAAAGTAAGAAAAAGAAATTTGAGAAATTTAAATGTGAAATTTTATTGATCGATGTAAAGTTTTAATGGTCTACAGTATGTTTTTTTTATACTGAAAATCACAAAAGAAAATATAAATGACAAGATATAGAGTTGTTTTACTTGGTATAGGAAAATGCAATTCATTAATATTGCATTTATGTGTCAAGCAGATTGATAACCCTCAATAAATGTATTATGTGATGCGCATTGTTGCTAAAGTGTTTTGAATGAATAGGCTCTTCCAAAAAATCTGATATAAATCAGTTTAAATCCCAAGGATGTAACTCAGCTATGTGTGCCTTGAGTTTGTTTGTATTGAGAAAACCAAATGTGTGTGTTTGTCATATCAGTAGTATACTAGAATGCATTTTATATAGAGCACACGAGTAATAAAATCATTGTAAAGGTTTAAGGATACTGAAGGACAAAGCTAGACTGTAAAAGATTAATCTAAATCCAACTGTCCTGGCTATGCTTTAATTGATTTATATCCTATCTATTACAGTGTACATTGTTTGAAGTTTGAGTCATAAATCAATCAATCTGTCTGTCTGTTTACTTATCATCTATTCAACAAAATGAATGACTAAACAAATAAACATATACACATGTCAATAAATAAGTAGACATATAAGTAAATACATACATAAATACACACACACACACACACACACAAATAAATAAATACACACAAATAAATAAATACACATTACATAAATAAATAGACACACACCTTAATAAATACATACATACACACACACAAATAAATAAATACATACATAAACACACACATAAATAAATACATACATACACACAAATAAATAAATACACATTACATAAATAAATAGACACACACATTAATAAATACATACATACACACAAATAAATAAATACATACATAAACACACACACACACACATAAATAAATACATACATACACACACACATAAATGAATACATACATGCATACACACATAAATAAATTAATAAATAGACACATTAGTACATAAATAGACACACAGATAAATAAATACAAATAAATACATACATGCATACACAAATAAAAAATTAAACACACATAATATTAATGAATAAATAGACACATAAATACATACATGCACACACATCAATAAATAAATACACACACCACATCAATAAATAAATAGACACATAAATAATACATACACACACATAAATAAAAAATAAATAAATACACATATCAATAAATAAATAGACACGTAAATAAATATATAAATAAATACACACACATACATAAATTAATCAATTAATAAATACATACATCAATAAATGAATAGACACTCAAATAAATAAATAAATACATACATACATACACACAAATACATAAATACACACATAACATTAATAAATAAATACATACACAGACATAAATAAATACACACACCACATCTATAATTAAACAGACACATAAAAAATATATACACATATAAATAAATGCATAAATAAATAGATAAATAAATAAATACACACATCAATAAATAAATACACACATAAATAAATATATTAATGAATACACACATAAATAAATAAATACACACATCAATAGATATATAGATAAATACACGCATCAATAAATAAATAGACACATAAATAAAAAAAATAAAAATAAATACACGCATCAATAAATAAATAGACACATAAATAAAAAAAATAAAAATACATACAACACATCAATAAATAAATACACACATAAATAAATACACACACATCAATAAATAAATAGACACATAAATAAAAAAATTAAAAATACATACATCACATCAATAAATAAATACACACAAAAATAAATTTACACACATAAATAAATAGATATACACATCAATAAATAAATACACACATAAATAAATATATAAATAAATACACACACATAAATAAATAAATACACACATCAATAAATAAATAGACACATAAATAAATAAATAAATAAATAGACACATCATATCAATAAATAGACACATAAATAAACACACACACACATAAATAAATATACACATCAATAAATAAATAAATAAATACATGCACACATATAAATAACTAAATAAATAAGCCGTAATAAATAAATAAAAAATAGACATTTAGGTAGCAATTTAGTTTATTAAATTAATTTCTGAAAGATTATGCTATTTGGAAGACTGAAGTAATTGCTGCTGAAAATTCAGTATGTACAAAACATTGTTATTTTAAACTGTATAAATATTTCCATAAAAGCAGCTTTACAGTATATCAAATAAATGCATAAATTTCAATGAAACAAATGCATATACATGAAATAATTGAGTATAACACACAACACACACATTATTATTATTATCATTTTTACATGTGGTTTTGATTATTTATTTCTTCGCAAAGCTAAGTTGTTGTCTGTCTGATCAGATATGTCTCCAGAGGCCAGGATTGGAGGAGACCAACCAGATGACGGAGACAATCTACACTCAGCTGATATCACAGAGCATAAAACAAAATCTTCCTCTGAAACTGATCTGCACAAACAAAGGTTTGCTTTTTGAGACGGGTTTTTTTTATGCATGTCCTTTTATTTTTACTCTTTTTGTGTAATTTCATTGAACAAAAAATGTTTGATCTGATACTGGAATCAGCATTTGAATGAATCAAGTGCTTGTTCCTTTGGGCTTCATAAAAACCAGCACTGTCATCATCAAACTCACACTGTAAATTGAGTTATTCTCTGTGCTAAGAATAGTGGTAAAAGAAAAAAGTGTGACTCACAGGACACTCTGTTCAGGCGTTAACTTATTAATAACCATTCTGAGAGGATTAGTAGATTCCAGTGGCATTAATCCACTTGTTACTTGTATTTTGAGAATTTATGTACATCGTCCATGTTATAAGCCAGGGGTCACCAATCCTGGTCCTGGAGGGCCAGTGTCCCTCCAGGGTTTAGCTCCAACTTGCCTTTACACACCTGCCTGGGTGTATCAAGTATACCTAGTAAGACCTTGATTAGCTTGTTCAGGTATGTTTGATTAGGGTTGGAGCTAAAATCTGCAGGACACCGGCCCTCCAGGAACAAGTTTGGTGACCCCTGTTATAAGCACAACAATTGTGAAATCGATCACATTGAAAACCTTCATTTATGTTGGTGCCTATAGCCTAGTGGTAAGTGCGTAGACATATTGCACCATCGTGCTCATGGTGACCTGAGTTTGATTCCCAGCTCTAGGTGCTTTGCTGACCCTTACTCTCTCTATGCTTTCAACTATTTCCTGTCAATTCTCTGCATATTTTATCCATTAACGGTTAAAAACCCCTAAAAATAATTATGTAAAAAAGTTTTTTTATTCAAATACAGGCACTCTCGTTAATACAGTATGATGACCAGAATGCCCACTTATGACAATCACAATGCCTCCAATTTAGATGCATTTACGGACAATCTGGAATTTAATAGTGAGTAAAAGTAAAGCAGCGAACCGTCTCTCTCCTTCTATCTCTATCATATCCTTGTTATAGTTGCTAATGGAGCGATATTAGATTATGCAGGCCGCTTGTGGCTGGCTGGCTGACTGTTCTGTTGACCACCAGCACGGTCTCATTTGAGATTCACACGATGAGATCACGTCTCGGCTGAGGCATCCCATCAACAAAGAGGCATTATCGAGATGTACAAAGCCCAAACACAATCAATGCCACAAATATGCCCCATCTGTACCATCATATTTCCCCCCAGTCCTTAAGAAATATCAGTTCAAGATAAAGTTGAATATTTGCATTATACTTTAGTAAAAGTCAGTAAAAGTTACAGCACAGACTAAAACTGTTAACGGATATCTTGATTTCTGTGATAAAATGAACTATGACAGTGCATGACTAGCTGTGATACAAGCACGCAGACCTGTGGTTTCCTGTCTGTTACAGTAGCCCTCGCATGCACACATATTTTACACAAGCGTACTTTGAACGTTATCTATTCTTCACCATTAACTGATTTTGCCACAACTGACAGTTGAATTATTATAGATGATAAAAATATAGTAAAAAAGTAATTAGATGCTGCATCAGGATATCACAACAGTGACATCTTGTGTCTGTCAGGAAAACAGAATTTCATGAGAATAACTTGAAATATAAACAAGGTTTTGCAAGTCTTTGTGAGTAAATATTACCATTAACATTAAACCAATACCTGCAGACATTGTAGATGCTCGGTTTTAAATATAAGTTCATCTAAGTTTTGTAATTAACCTCTATTCACTGTTCTAAACACAATGGTCATTCGTGCCCTCTATTCACGCTGTATGTATGTTTGTGTGTGTTTGTGATCAACAGAAGACCACAAATTGACGTTTCCAGTCCAAGTGGATCAAAACCAGGTATATTGCTTTATCTGTTGTACTACACTATGCACACACCAGCGACTTTATTCGGTACACCTGTTCAACTGCTTGTTAACGCAAATTTCTAATCAGCCAATCACATGTATTTAGTTATGTAAACATAATCAAGACGATCTGCTGCAGTTCAAACCGAGCATCAGAATGGGGAAGAAAGGTGATTTATGTGACTTTGAACATGGCATGGTTGTTGGTGCTAGACAGACTGGTCTGAGTATTTCAGAAAACTGCTAGACTACTGGGATTTTTACACACAACAAATTCTAGGGTTTGCAAAGAATGGTCCGAAAAAGAGAAAACATACAGTAAGGGGCAGTTTTGTGGGCGCAAATGCCTTGTTGATGCCGGAGGTCAGAGAAGAATGGTTCGAGCTGATAGAAAGGCAACAGTAACTCTAATAACCACTATTTACAAGTGAGGTATGCAGAAGAGCATCTCTAAAAGCACAACACATGGCAGTGAAATCTTTATACCTTGAGGCAGATGGGCTACAGCAGCAGAAAACTCCTGTCAGCTAAGAACAGGAAACTGAGGCTACAATTCACACAGGCTCGACAAAATTGGACAATAGAAGATTGGAAAAACATTACCTGGCCTGATGAGTCTCGATTTCTGCTGCGACATTCGGATAGTAGGGTCAGAATTTGGCATCAACAACATTAAAGCATGGATCCATCCTGCCTTGTATCAATGGTTCAGGCTGGTGGTGGTGGTCTAATGGTATGGGGGATATTTTCTTTGCACACTTTGGCCCCATTAGTACCAAGTAAACATTGTGTCAATACCACAGCCTACCTAAAGTGTTGTTGTTGACCATGTCTATCCGTTTATGACCACAGTTACCCATCTTCTGATGGCTACTTCCAACAGGATAACACACCATGTCATAAAGCGTGAATCATCTTAGACTGGTTTCTTGAACATGACAATGAGTTCACTGTACTCAAATGGCCTCCACAGTCACCAGAACACAATCCAAAAGAGCACCTTTGGGATGTGGTGAAACAGGAGTTTCGCATCATGGATGTAAAGCCAACAAATCTGCATCAACTGCGTGATACTATCATGTCAAAAACTCTGAGGAATCTTTTCAGTACCTTGTTGAATCTATGCCACGAAGGATTAAGGCAGTTCTGTAGGCAAAAGGGGGTCCAACCCGGTACTAGTAAGGTGTACCTAATAAAAAGGCTGGTTAGTGTATTTATGTATACATATATATGGAAAAATATTACATTGTGGTATTTTATTTTGCTGCGATATATATTGCAATATGAAGATAATGAGATAATGTCATCAGTTGATTTGAATAGCTCTATTTAGAAGGATTTCATTAATTTCCAATTGTGATGATCAACTCTATTCTATGTACTCTATTCTGAAATAAATTACAAGCAAAAATAAACAAATAACACTTGAAACCACTAGCCTACAGTCAAACACGTGATAGACGTGCACTGGACTCACAATCTTGTAAATCTTGTTCCTGACACAATCTTCCCAGTGGCCGCAAATATCTGATCAGATTGGAAACCTAAACCACTTTTTTTGCTGCAGCAGTTTCTCAAGGTTCTTTATCCAGATGCCAGTTGATAGCCGTTTGATCTGTTGTTTTTTTGCAACCCACTGCTTCCTGCAGCTCGTCCACAATGCAAATGCTCCAACAGAACAGACAATATCATGAAGAGCTGTGTGGGTGTGATGCTCTGACCTTTTCATGCTATGTTGAACATCCTGTAATACATTCATATGCTTGAAGATGTGCTGGGGCGTACTGTCTGAATTTCCCTTCCAGGATCAATAATGTGCGTGTACCTGTCTGGCTAGATTTTTAAACTGCGGTGTGTCTTTTTATAGATGCAGATGACAGTGAGGATGAATCTGTGTTCTGGAACACTAAAGTCCTGCCCGTCCTTCAAGAATTCGAGTCCTTTGCTGGAGGTGATGATAAAATTACTGTCATGAATGTTTAAAATGCCTGTTAAAAAATCAAAGTGTCACATTCTGTAATCTGCTACCATCTGACAATGCATATTGGTCTATTTAAAATGAACAGTCCTGGGAAGAAATTTTTCCATATAAGATGTTTTAAGGATGAAAAAATAGAATGTTAATAGCTCCAAAACACATTTTTTAAGATACAAGTTGATGACTTTTCTTTATCTAAGGAACATTAAGCATATCCTTTAAATTCCCTATGGAATTGTACTTCTATTTGGATAGATGAACATAAGTGTTTTCTTATTTATCTGAAGATTTTTTTTAATGATACTGTAGTTCCAACACTCGAAAAATGACTTTTGATGCTTGTTAAAACTACTTAGTTTAAATAAGTTGAAACAACACCATTTTAAAATATTTTGATGTTTAATCCACCTGAACTTGTAAAATGGATTGAGTTAACTTAATCGATTTGTGTAGGAACAACATGAAAGTATTGTATCCAGCATTATTTACAGTGAAAGATATTTTTAATTACGTCCCAACAGAACAGCTCTGCTTTTAACATTCACCCAGTACAGTTTCTACACACATACACACAAAATCTTATCATTATGGTGTCTTGAAAAAGCCAACATACTGCTATACTGCATAAACATACTATTCTTCTGTCTTCTTCTTAAGACTATCTTAAGAACGCATCTCCTCCGACCCAGACCATTCATACTGCAACCACCAAACTAACTCCAAACTACACAGAATTAAGTTGTTGTGTTATCTTTTCCAACTTTTCCAATCCGACTTATGGTTTTCCGAAAACTGACCTGAAAATTTCGGAAAAGTCCCATTGACTTAACATTAAACCAAACTTTAAGACCTCATAACTTTCCACCAGACTGTCATACAGACTTAATGTTGGGCTCATTCAACTCACACTACCAATCTGCCAATCACTGATGACCTTTCAACTTACTAGCCACATCCTAGCAACCATTTACAGCACCCTAGCATCTGTCCATAGACTTCCATTAAAAAAAACTGCCATTGACTTTACATTGAACATACTAACAACATACCATTTCATACTAACAATATACTAATGCATACTAGAAACATACTAATCATACTAGCTAACTCAATGCTGATTCATACTATAAACATACTAGCAACGTGCTATTTCCTACTAAAATCATGCTAACAAGATCCTAGTTTATACCAGAAACATGCTAGCAAAATGCTAATTCATACTAGAACCATACTAATTTGTTAGTAATTGCCTTAAAACACCTTAGTAACTACCTAGCAATCACCTAGCAACGCCTTAGCAACCACCTAACAGCAACTTAGCAACCAGCTACCAATACCTTAGCAACTGCCTAGAAACCAATCAAAACACCCTAGCAACCACCTAGCAACACCTTAGAAATTACCTAGAACACCTAAGCAACCGCCTAGCAACACCTTATCCACCACCTAGCAACGCCTTAACAACCACTCAGAACAGCCTAGCAACCACCCAGCAATGCCTCAGCTACCATTCAGAGCAACCTAGCAACTGCCTTGCAACACCTTAACAACTGCCTAGCAACCACTCAGAACAGCCTAGCAACACCTTAGCAACTACTTAGAACACTCTAGCAACCGCATAGCAACAACTTAGCAACCACTCTAAATAGCCTACCAACCACCCAGCAACATCTTAACAACTACCTGAAATACTGTAGCAACCACCTACCAACACCTTAGCAACTGCCTAGCAACCACTCAGAACACCTTAGCAACTGCCTAGAAATGCCTTAACATCCAGTCAAAACATCCTAGCAACCGCCTAGCAACTCCTAGGCAACCACTCTAAACATCCTAGCAACCACTTAGCAACACCTTAGCAACCACTCAGAACCCCTTATCAACTGCCTAACTAGAAACATGCTCAAACTTCTTAAACTACTTCAGTTATTTAAACTTTGAAACTACTTCAAACTTTCAGACAAGGTTTTCTCAGGCCACCATAAAGTTTGTCACCCAAAGTCTTTTCTACTTATAATTTTTTTCTATTACTATATTTAAATTCACAAACATGTTCACAATTTTAAGGTTATTGCATTTTGCTTATGCATGTTCTTACTAAGAAGCTGCACTCAAATGTGTCCCCGAGTGAAAGCAAAGCTGCAGGGAGAACGAAAACACAATATCTGGATGCAGAGGAACAAAAACAAAGCTTGTGTTGAGCTTGGCACGGCACTGAGCTTTTAAAGTCAAAGCATGTGGGGGGAAAAGAACCGTGAAATGCAATCTAATAGCAGTAAATATTTAAGTACTTTGAAAATTCAATAGAAATTCATTTAAAAGATAAATATCAAATATTTATTGCGCCAAGAGCCGCTCGGTTCATGCATAAAATACCATTCATATTCTCCATGGCATCATCAAGAGAGCCCTGTTGGGGAGAATGCCAACCATCTTGGAAACAGATTTGAGAGACAACATTTGTCTTAGCAAAAATAGCTTTGGAAAGCTCAGCCCCCCTCTAAGACAAGTTAGATCCAGCAAGAATAAAGCACACAACGGTTAAAACCCGTGTAGTAACGGATAATTATTCTGCAAGCAACAGCTAGTCTAAAATGCAAACGATTTTATGGATTTAAGGCCAAGGTTTTTATAGTTTTGCATTTTAAAATTACTTTCATTTTGATACTGTTTATACATTTTCTGTTCATTTCAGTTTAGGTTTAGTTCGTTTCATTAATGGTTTTGTTTGTTTTAGTTTAATGGGGAATTAAAATAGTCGTTATAACGCGTTTTACATTATATAAATTCTGAACATGATTTCATATACTGCACTATACTGCGCTACAAACTATACCTATTACAGCTCCAGTGAAATAATAGGATAGGTCCTATAGATGAATTACCTGTTGGTAAATATACGGTATGTGCGCGCAGCGAGGTTGCAGAAAAAACTGGGAGTTCTAGCATTTACAACAAGGGAAAGACATCCGATGCGGTACAGAGTTTGTTGTTGTATTAGAGATAAGTTATATTGATTACATATTATATATATTATTTACATAATGATTTCAGCATACTATAACAGCTTGTCAATCAGTGATAAGCACAGTTATTCGGCAAGATTAACGTTAAAGTGAGCGGCGTTCGTCTGACAGGTCCATTTGTGATAGCACCCTTCCAGTGGCAGTGGATATTGGAAAAGACGAAATGGCCAAGCATCCAGCCCGAAATATGTCTCTTTTAACTCCAAGTGATTTTACAAGAGAGAAGTTAAATGCCTACAAGTCTTTGGATTTAATTGGCTATATTTAACTGTTTTTGCTGAAATCATTGCTGCTATCAAAAACGAGTATGTGTATAATTTATTGTGTACGATTCAGCATAGCGTGAATTTACCTGCTATAAAATGTCCAGCATTTCTAATTAGGTCCTTACTCCATTCAGCTAAATTTAGCCAAAGACGTTTGCGGTTGGCATTAAAAGCAGTGTGGTGTATGGTAAAATTTAAGCGTTCATCGAATTTGGCGTCCTACCGCACAACATGACATGTTTGCTATTGCAACCGGTCTTTTTTTGCAACCGGTATGCGTGGTTGAACCCGTGTGATGTAGGTTGGTTATTCCCCAATAGGCAAACTCAATTCTCAGGGAGGACTCTATTTGACAACATCAATCATGACAACAGCCAATATGGTGAATGAAACCCTGCCTTCTAGTCAACGAGCCAATCATCGATCAATATTGACGGATTATTCTCCTTGGTTTCCCAGAGATGGGTTGCGGCTGGAAGGGCATCCGCTGCGTAAAAATGTGCTGGATAAGTTGGCGGTTCATTCCGCTGTGGTGACCCCGGATTAATAAAGGGACTAAGCCGAAAAGAAAATGAATGAATGAATGAATGAATGGATTCTCCTTGGCTTGAACCAGACATGAGTTTCTGCAGGTTTTGTATCATTCGAACATTTAGAAATGAAACTAAACAAATGTATTGATGATAAATATGAAATTTAAAGAATCGTAAGCTTGGCAAGCAATTTTGAAGAATTTGATGTTTCCCCATTCAAACAAAATGTCTGACCATACTACCCGAGAGGTATTTCAACGATGGCTAACGAGTGAATTGACTTGCCTTAAATTACCTTTGGCTAGACGGATGTGTGCATTGTTTGTAAAAACACCATCTCGCAGCAGGTCAGATTTTCCTCTACAGTGCTAATGATTTTTTTCAGTTTGTTTTTCAGTGACTGTTGTTAGTTTTGTTTATTTAATTGTGAATTATTTACATTTAATTTTTAATGATTTTGACTAAAAAGTTTTCGACTGTTTCAGTTTTCGTTTACAAAAAATAACCTTGGTTGCAGACAGGAGATTTAGCCTATATTGATACTCTATTACAGTCTAATATTACTTAAACACTCTACCACATTATGTTCTTGTGCTTAAGGTCAGTGCGTACGTACAGAAAAAAAAAAAAACAGTAAAGAGCTATTATACTGTATACACACTGATGATGCATACCATACAGTGGGAGAATTCGCCTGAAGGCCTGTGTTAAATCTGTCAGTGGGTGTAAATGTGGGCCAAATGTCAGTGAAATGTCAGTAAGCCTACTCCGTGTACACATCAGTTGAGTCGAATGAAAGAGGCTGTGTAGCCCATAGACTACTCTTCTTTCACTGTCCTTCACAGAGACAGTTGAAGGGTGACAATGGTGCAATTAATACTGTGTGAGACACGCTGTTTGAAATACGACCTTGACGCTGTTGCCTATTTTGTGCACTGGAACTTACAGTATAGTGTCCTGATTGGGTTATGTGTCTCAAAAAACAATCCTTTTAGGTGATGCTGTGTCAGATGAGATTGTGGGACAGCTGTGTAACTCGTGCAATGGTCTCCATGATGCCCTGGCAGAGAGAGGCATGCTGGGAAGGCAGTGTAAAAAGAGGTCCGGCATACTGAGAATACTGTTCAGACTTATAGATGTTGGATCGGACCGACTTAACCTAACGTTAGCCAAGCTTATTCTGGCAGTGAGTATATACACACATACACACACGTGCACACACACACAATATGAATGTTTCCCATTTTTTTTACATTTGAGTTTCTTTTGTATGATGAACACAATAATATATTTTAAAGACTGTAAGAGAACAGATGCCATTCATAAATATTAATTTGTAGCTAAATTGTTAGCAGTGCCAAACAGCATTTCCTGTTATTTACCTCCTTGTTTACATCCTCACTACAACATACCATTAACACTAGAAACTGTGCCTGTAGTTGATCAACTTTAACAAATGTAAATACTTACAGGTTGTGGCTCACAATCCACAGCTTTGTTGGTTGGAGGAGTTTTAACCAAATCCAGCACTGATCTAGGAGAGATTCTAGAACCTGTCCTTTGTCAAATGCTAGCTATTTTTTTTATTATAATTCTCTGAAACATAATTAAAATTAAATTGTAAGCACTTCTCTCTTTGTGTCATGTCCTTTGGAAGCCCAAATACAGAAACAGAAAGAACTCTGTGGAAATAGCGGTATTTTAGCATGCAACGACTCTAGCCATGCCCCTTTGCTGCACAGGGTGTATGCGCGTGGTGAATTTGCGTAACCAGAGGCCCTTGTAATCTCACTAGCCCATAGCCCATATGACTATTTTTGTAGTCCCCAAATTTGTTTGTTGTAGGCTTTGCTAAGCTAACTCTGTAAAAGCCAAGGTCTCTCTTTGCATTGAACTTTGAGCATTTTACATTCAGAGATGTTGTTTATGTTCACACAGCTACATTACACATCAACTAACTATCAGTTCTTCAGCATGCTTTCTTTACAGTTTTAATTCTAATTGGCAGTTAATTGCAGTTAAAGTATAAATTAAAATTCACTGTCAATGCATAAATAGCAGAAGTGAACAAATAGATCTTCCCTATTAGCAAATATTATAGTAAGCAATATATGAAATATATGAAATATATGAAATATATGAAAAGTTTCACATTCTACAGAATACCGCCATCACCCATGACTGAATATGTAAACATTGTTGAATTGGAGCTCTGGCAGGGATGACTGAAATAAGTACGGGTGCTGTATATAGAATGCGAGTGGCCAAAATCTAGTTTGTGTCATTATCTCTTTTTTTTTGTTCAGTTGACATGTAGTCCAAATATTTGTAGCTTGAAACAGAAGGAGTTTCTATGGAAATCCTTTTGTTAGCTGTCATTATGACACATTATTTTCCCTGACAGGTCTCCGCTCAGGTCACATGACTAGAAACTATCATACTGAAACACAAGATTTTATCAGATGCTTAAATAATTTTAATCCTGTAAATCCATTACCAACATTATTCATGTTTTACCCCAATTTCTGACTGTGCATTTTTGTAAGACTTCAAACATTTAGCCACTAAACACCCTCTGGCTTAGCCTATCATCTCACAGTAGCCACGCCCCAAACTCTCTTTATTGCCTCAGCTGGATTGACAAATTTGAGCAGACTTCTCTCAATGTTTTGATAGTTAAGCCTTTGGCAGAGATGAACTCATGTACTTATAGTAATCATCATGTATGTATACTAATCAAGCCTAGCTGTATGTGTGAGATTTATAATCAGAATCTTATTGCTTTTCTCTGTTACCAGCTCAATGTGAGTGGAAACAACTTGCTGAACATCTGCAAACTCGTCTTCAAAATCAGCCGAAACGCTAATAATGACGCCCTGTTCCTCAATGGCTCCATCCTAGGTCAGACCTGATTATTGTATAACTTACCCAAATTCAATTAGTCACTATCTCTCAGATCAGCCCATTGTGTGCATGCGTTTCCCCACAGACTCCCTTGTGTCTCTGCTCCAGTGTGAGGATGTGTGGAGTAAAGGTGAGGCCGTTCTGTACTGTGTGGGCTCACTGAAGCTTCTCTCAGGAAACAGTGCCCTCTCCAGGCTGCTGCTGGATAAAGGCTTCATCGGTGTCCTGATGCAGTTGTCGAAGAGACTGATGCACAGCCCTTCTGCAACTTCAGCTAATGTTAATACTCACAGGTCAGATGGAGAAGGCCAGCAGATCATCACAGGACACATACTGGTACAGGTAAGAGATCCTTGACAGCTGCCTGAGTTGTGAAAGAGACAAAGTTCTTAATTTTTCAATCCAGTTTTGAAAATGGGGATGAAGCCATCACAAATATACCAGGACACACTACAACAAAGGAAATTTTGTTCACCTTAAAGGGATATTTCACCTAAAAATGACAATTCTGTCATTAGCTACTCACCCTTTACTATTTTTTGTCTGTTTAACACAAAAGAAGATATTTCAAAAAATGTTGGAAACCTGTTACCATTGGGCTTGATTCCTTCATTTTAAAACCCTAATTAAATGAAGTATCAGGTTCCTCGTCACTATACACTATACTATACTTGTCACTGGCCACTTTATTAGGTACATCTGTCCAACTGCTCGTTAACACATTTCTAATCAGCCAATCAGATGGCAGCAACTCAATCTTTTTAGGCATGGTTATAACGATCTGCTGCAGTTAAAATTGAGCATCAGAAAAGCGAAGAAAGGTCACTTTAAACGTGGCAGAAGAGCATCTCTAAACGCACAAGTCGAACCTTGAGACGAATGGGCTACAGCAGCCAAAGACCACACCGGGTGCCACTCCTGTAAACTAAGAACTGGAACTGAAGCTACAATTTGCACAGGCTCACCAAAATTGGACAATAAGAGATTGGAAAAAACATTACCTGGTCTAATGAGTCTTGATTTCTGCTGCGACATTCGGATGATAGGGTCAGAATTCGTCAACAACATGGATCTATCCTGCCTTGTATCAAAGGTTCAGGCTGGTGGTGGGGGTGTAATGGTATGGGGGATATTTTCTTGGCACACTTTGGGCCCATTTGTACCAATTGAGCATTGTGTCATGTCTATCCCTTTATGAGCCATCTTCTGATGGCTACTTTCAGCAGGATAATGCACTATGTCATAAAGCGTAAATCATATCAAACTGGTTTCTTGAACATGACAATTAGTTCACCATACTCAAATGGCCTCCACAGTCACCAGATCTCAATCAAATAGTTTCTTTGGGATGTGGTGGACCAGGAGATTCGCATCATAGATGTGCTGTTGAGAAATCTGTAGTAACTGCATGATTCTATCATGTCAATATCTGCCAAAATCTCTGAGGAATATTTCCAGTACTTTGTTGAATCTATGCCACAAAGGATTAAAGCAGTTCTAAAGGCAAAGGGGGTCCAACCTTGTACTAGTAAGGTGTACCTAATAAAGTGGCCTTTGAGTATGTCATAGTTAGAGTTTTGTTTAAGACCGTATTTTGTAATGTCTTTCAAGGAGTAATTAGATTTACATGTTACCACAAATGTTTCTTGATAGATTCTGCAAATAAATGAATGATGTTATAGGAAGAATATTATTAAAAAATACACTTTTATTAACAAAATATATCCAGTGAAAAATATGAATAAAACAAATGCAAAAGCAAAACAAAACAGAGAACAAGAGGCCTAAGACATACAATATACAGAAGTCTAAGCGTTCTGCTGGTTTTCTTGCTGCAGTCTTTTATACAGTACTTATACCCATGAACACAGGTGTTTGCCTTCTAGTTAGATTAAAAATATGTTTATTACTGTTTCTACCTAGGTTGATCAAAGAATTGTAATGAAATGACTCTGCTAAACAACTTGACATGTAAATAGAGAAAAAGAAATTTAGTTTTTCAAAGCAAAGTAATAAATCCCTCTTCACTAAGTTATATACTTGTATGGTAATACATCTCTACAATCATAAGATATATGTGTCTAGAAGCACACTTAAGCATAGCAAAGCATTTGTTTATCAGCACTTTGGGAGGTGGCCCAAGGTCTCCTCATCCAGGGCCATGGCTTGTAATCGGTGAAGAACATCCTCCTCTTCTGATAAGTCTCCCAAACTTCCTAGAGTCTTCAAGTGCAGTCATTTGTTTGGAGTTTTAATTGAACCATGTCCTCCTGTATTATAAGCATTAAACTGACCAGCTTTAGTAAATCGCCCTTGACCTCTGTGAACTCTCTGTCATTTTTTATGCTTCTTCTCATCTCTAATAGCTGTTTTAGCAAGCATAGTAATATCAGAATATGGAAGTGATGTTTTGTGTCTCTTACAATTAATGTCATTAAAACATGCAGAGTTTTCAGCTTTCTTTAAAGTATCTTCTTTTGTGTACAAAAAAAGAAATTAACAAGGGTTTTGAACCACATGAGGGTGAGTAAACAGGAAGTAAACCTTCATTTTTGATGAACTATTCCTTTAAAGGCCTAGTTCACCCAAATATAATAATTTACTCTGATTTACTTACTCTCAAGTGCTTCCAAAAGAGTTTATTTCTACTGTTGAACACAAAAGAAGATATTTTGAAGGAAGTTGGAAACCATTAGCCATTGAATTCCATACCGTTTACCTTTTCTACTAAGAAAGTCAATGGTGACCAACACTGTGCAAATTTCTACTTTTGTGTTCAACGGAAAAAGGGAAAAAATGGTTTTGGAACAAGTGGAGTGTGAATAAATTAAGCAACTTTCATTTTTGGTTTAACTATCCCTTTAATTGGAAGGTTTGTCTAGAAATGACCTTGGCTTGGCTTTGTTTTTCTGTGGAAAACAAAAGATAATTTGATAAATAAATTTTGTTACCATTAACTGCCATTGAACTAAAAAAGAGAGACACATTTCTCTTAATATCATCTTTTATATTCCAGATTAGGGAAAGCCATTCAGGTTTAAAATTCAGGGTGAGTAAGTAGTGACATGATTTTCATTTTAAATGAACTATCCTTTTATGAAAGCTGAAAGGATTTTCTGTGATGCAGGACAATCCCTTTTCCTTGTTGTTTAAAAAGCACTTAAGATCCCATCATGCGTTTCATGGTGTGCTGGAATAGTGCTTTGTGCAACACTCATACACCACCATAGACAAACAAATAGGCTTGCATTGCAAACATGGTAAATCTGTGTCCTTAAAACAGGAGGAATTCAGCAAGCTCGAACCCCACCCGGACGTTTCTCAGAACTCTGTTCTGGGAGCGAAACGGAACAAAATATGAGCGTTTCATGAGGGTGGGGTTGCATGGGGTCCAAAAAAAAGGGTGGATTTTAATGTGCTTTTCCTCTGCTTTTGTTTTTCCTTTTGTCTGGGAGGATGCCCTTTTTCCACTTCTCCATGTCCATATTTTACTTTACACTCTTCCAGCATAAAGTACGCTTCACAGAAATGATTAAACTCTGCCCAAACAAACTTCCTGAGCTCGGCACGCATGGTTTGATGTTCAGCGCCAATTGCCATGCCACTCATTAGCTTGTTGGCAGACGGAAATGAGGGTTTTTATGAAAGTACCATCCATTTGGCTTTAGGAGGCACCCTCCTTGTACCCTAATCAGTGTTCTGAGCTCTTGATGGAGAGATTTATGAGACCAATTTAAAGAACCTCTGTTATTTCTTCTTGATTATAAGTGTTTCCTTTTTTATACGCATCCCTAGCCATTAGGTGCATACTGACACACACCTGCAAGACAGTCCCCCATTCATCAAACATACACACTAATACCAAAATCAAACAAAAAGTGCTCCAGGGTTGTTAATGTGTCAGTGTTCTTTGGAGTCAAAAAGTCAACACTAATACATTTTGTTTTGGGTTTTCCTCAAATGCATAGAGTTGCTCTCAGTCTTGACCTCTGGACTCTTTCTAGGTCACAGCAGCTTTGAGAAATATAGCCGACCAGTCTGAGTCTCGGCCTTCCTTCCTGTCAAACAAGGCATTTTCTACGCTTTGCTTGATTCTGGAAAACCACCGCAATGACCTTGATGTCTGCATTAATGTGGCCCGAATATTCAGGTAAGTTGTCTCTGTGTGCATACAAACTCTAAGAGCTTCTTTAGAGTAGTAGTCTCTCATTTACATTTTAAGTGCAGCTTCATAACAATAGAAAAATACCAGAATCAATATGAAACTTGTATAGATAAATATGACACAAATTCAACAGTTTTACTTACTCCTTGGGCCGTTTTTGAAGTTTCGTAACATCTAATTTTTATGAGGTGGGTCGTTAGCCCAACGCTCAACCCTCAACCTGGAGGACCTAAAGCAGCTTTAAAAGACTGAAATCTAATTGTTCAACTCAGGTCAATTCAATTCAACATTGATTAATTGTTGCAAAATGTAATAAATTAGAAATAAATTAGTAGTATCATCATCCAGTGTTTTTTATTTCATGTTTTATTGCGGTCGATATTAAAAATAATAATAATTAAATTTTAGATGTAATCAAACCACATTTGATCAGATTTACCAGCTCTATGCCTGCATGTTGTTGAAGAGCACTAGATTTAAGACAGGATTTGAAAAGTTTAGATGCATTATCCAAGTGCCATTTGAGTTTTTCTTCTAAAATTAGCCATTTTTTTCAAGTCTCTGTGTGCATGTTCAGTAATTTACATGTTTTGACATAGGACAGATTATTTTCATTGCCTTTAAAGGGAAATAGCTGACTATAAACATAGAAAAATGCTTATTTTAGAGAAAAAATTTACATCTGAACTCTTCATTTAAACTTTGCCATCTGAAATCATGAGTTTGATTTGAAAGTGAAAAATGTGAAAATCATCAAAAAATGTTCTCTTATCAGTCCAGAGTCTTGCAGTATTTGGAATAGATTTGTGGCTAACAAAGCAGAAATAAAGGTGCTTCTCTCTATATTGTTTGCTTTTGCTTATCTGTTTTCACATTCATATCTAAACAGCTTTAGCATACTTCAAAACAATAGATTTAAAAAAAAAATGTCAATGCACACATCCATAGAAATTTAGTCAAAAGATCTGGATTTGAACTTGACTATTTCTTCTACTTGTAGTCCAATCAACCAAAACACGTCTCAAAGGGATAGTTTACCTAAAAAATGAAAACTCTTCCATCATTTGAACACATAAGAAGCTATACTAAAGAACATTGCTCCATTGACTTCTATAGTATCCCAGCAAGCACAGGACATCAACATGTCGTCAGATTGATGTTGTACCCCATGTTGCATTTTGGTTACTCGGTTACTCAATATCTATGATCATATGACGTCTATCAGACGCTGGATTTTGTTTGCCATACCAAAGGAATAAATAACAGTATTTGACGTTAGGGCAGCACTGTGGTGCAGTGAGTAGCACAATCGCTGAACAGCAAGAAGTTCGCTGGTTTGAGTCCCAACTGGATCAGTTGCCATTTATGTGTGGAGTTTGCATGTTCTGCTCGTGTTCGCGTGGGTTTCCTCTAGGTGCTCCGGTTTCCCCCACTGTCCAAAGGCATGCAGTACAGGTGAACTGAATAACCTAACTTGGCCATAGTGGATGGGGGTGTGTGCAAGAGTGCAAGAGTGTTTCCCAGTGTTGGGTTGCGGCTGGAAGGGCATCTGTTGCATAAAACATGTGCTGGATAATTTGGCGGTCCATTCCACTGTGGCAACCCCTGATTAATAAAGGGACTAAACCAAAAAGAAAATTCATGAATATTTGACGTTTATATGACGTTGGATTTGGTCACTTTCCAACACAACCTAAAATGAACAAATTATCATAAATTATCGTCATTTTTGGACGTCAAAATAACCTTGCCCTTGGATGCTGGTGACCTTAATCTAACCTAATGTTAATGTCTTATGACATTGTGTGTCTGCTGGGATGTTTGTTCCTACTATGGAAGTCAATGACAACATTTTTCTCCAACTTTCTTTAGAATATTTTGTGTTTGTGTGCGTGTTTAACAGAAGAAATGAATTTTATAAAAGTTTAGAACTACTTGAATTTAAGTAAATGGTGAGTATTTTTTTTTTTAGATGAACTATGCCTTTAATACCATGCAAGCAAGGTCTTCGTTTGAGGAAAAGATCTAGTTGATGAGTGTTGATAAACTTTGTGTGCTCTGTCTCTTCAGCAAGCTGTCCACCTACACTGAATGCTGTCATGCACTCGCTGAGACGCCACGCTGCTGCAGCCTATTTTTGGAGCTGCTAGGCAAACACAGCAGGAAACAGGTGAATCTGGCTCAAGTCCACCAATGCTCAGACATACATCGCAAAACATTGGCTGCGTGTTCTGCTTTCTGATCTGATGTGAAACTTGAGCAGTGGTCTATGAAGATGTGTGTGTGTTTCTCTTAGTTTTATTTCGGTACGGACAGTTCAGATGTATCTCTCTCTCTCTCTCTCTCTCTCTTTCCTACTGGCACTGACAGAAATGAGATCATGCGCTTCTAATCTCATAAAGAATAAACACGGTTCACACTGTGTACTAGGTATCATAAACACAGTCCTGCAAACACCCTGCATCTCACATCGGGACATACTGTCCTCTAGACTACTGGCAGAGGTCTCTTTCTCTCTCTCTCTCTGCAACCCGCTTTTCATACATATCAAATGAAAACAGAAAAGAGCTTTTGAAAGCAAGTTTAAACAGTCTGGCCAAGTAAAGTTCACAAAAAGGGTGCTGGGTTCACAGGCATTTCAAAGCGGTTTAAAGATTTAGTAATAATTATATGACTTATAATCAATCTCAATCTGTGTCAGTATTACATATAAAAAAAGATGACGAAAATTACTCGTTGCTCCTGACTGAATAGCTTATGTACTGTCACATTCAAAATTATTAAAGTTATAGAAGTATTTTTTGTTTGGGATATAAAATTTGAAGGGGCGGCACAGTGGCTCAAGTGCCTCACAACAAGAAGGTCGCTGGTTTAAGTCCTGGCATGGGCCAGTTGGCATTTCTTTTTTTTCTTTTCTTTTTTTTTTTATTAAGAAATATTTTGAATTAAGAAAATATACAATTTTGCTGTATTGCACATGAAATAATAAACGAATACAAACATAATAATAAGTAAATTAAAAAACAATATTGGGGGGTTACTTTGTTCCAAATTCAACAGTTGTTAACAATACCATAATCAATACATTTATTCTAATGTTTTAGAAATAAGTCCTTTTTAAGTCTCAAAATGAATGTCATTCATTCATTTTCTTTTCAGCTTAGTCTCTTTATTAATCTAGGGTCGCCACAGTGGAATGAACTGCCAACTTATCCAGCATATGTTTTACGCAGCGGATGCCCTTCCAGCTGCAACCAATCTCTGGAAAACATCCATTTACACTCATACGCTACGGAAAATTAAGCCTACCCAATTTACCTATAGCACATGTCTTTGGACTGTGGGTAAAACTGGAGCATCCGGAGGTAACCCACGCAAACGCGGGGAGAACGTGCAAACTCCACACAGAAACGCCAACTGACCCAGCCGAAGTCAGCGACCTTCTTGCTGTGAGGTGACAGCCTCACACCTACTGCGCCACCGCATTGCAGTTACTGTGATTAATTACAGAATTTTTTTTGGTTTTTATCAATTGACAACACTAATCATATCAAATTTAAGAAAATGAAAATGACATTTCAAATATTTTATAAAGTATTATAGCGTTTTTTTTTTTTTTTAAAAAGGTACATTTTCATACATGACTATTGATCCACATCTAGAATGAGATTAATATAATAACAAATTAAAATGCTCTATTTAAAAACCACAGCACAGCTATAAAATAGTATTGGTCATTTAAAATGTTCATATTTTGCCTTCACACTGGTTTTACTAATTACACACCAAGAACATTTGAATTATTTAAAATTATACTACATTTTTATATGATCAGATACTCATTACTCACTACATTTTAGTCAGCATATTTCCCAAAATGCCAAGTTGTGAATGATTCTTCAGCATTTTTTAGATGCTTTGGTTGTTATGACATCTAGGGTACTGTTAATAGCAACTGATTTTGCATAATTTGTTTATGGCTAACCGTGTTGACATTAAGGAGCAGGATATTCATTTATTTTCCATTTTTTTGATTGCTGTTTACACAAAGGGTTTGTTGGTGTGGTATTTTTCCCACCCCTCCTCCACTGTGATTGGATGAACTAAAAAGGGACATTGACGAGTGTTATTAATAATAATAATAATAATAATAATAATAATAATAATAATTCCTTACATTTATATAGCATATTTCTAGACACTCAGAGCGCTGTACACGTTTGGGGGAATCTCCTCAACCCCCACCAGTGTGCAGCATCTACCTGGATGACGCGACAGCAGCCATATTGCGCCAGACCACACACCAGCTGATTGGTAAAGATGAGACAGAGTGATGAAGCCAATTATGATATGGGGATGGTTAGGAGGCCATGAAAGACAAATGGCAGTGGGTAGATTTGGCCAGGATGCCAGAGTTAAACCCTTACTCTTTTTAACGACCACATAAAGTCAGGACCTTGTTTTAACGTCTCATCCGTGCTCACTGAGCAATATAGGGTCCCCGTCACTATACTGGGGCATTAGGACCCACACAGACCACAGGTTGGGTGCCCCCTGCTGGTCTCACTAACATCACTTCCGGCAGCAACCCAGCTTTCCCATGTGGTTTCCCATTCAGGTACTGCGCAGCCCTGCTTACCTTCAGTGGGTGACCATGTGATAGTTGCAGAGAGCTAGCTGCCGGAGCTAGAGTGTTGCACCAAAAAAAGTACCAAATGCTCAGTGCTTAATGTAATGGAAACATTTGTAAATAGACAATTAAAAAAAAAACATCAAAAATATCTTCAAGCTAACTTAGATATCCACATATGTAACACACACTTGTTTCTTATGTGCAGGATCTTGTGGTGCGTCTCCTGTTCACACTAGGAAATCTGACCGCCAAGAGCACTGAAGCCAGAGAGCAAGTCTATGAGGAGGAACGAGGAATGGATGTCCTCCTAGATCTTTTCCAGGCCTACCAGAATACGTCATCGCCCCCTGAACAACGTCTTTCTCCAGAGAGAGAGGACGTCTTGGTCAAACTAATCAGACTGCTGGCCAACCTGGCCATCCATCCCACAGTGGGCACAGCATTGGCTGCCAACACATTGTGTGTACAGCTGCTACTGGAGGTTCTGGGTACAAAACATAATCATAATCTATATACACACACTCTGTCGAGTCCCTAATTAGACATATGCTTGGTTCTGCATTCTCTATTTATGTAAAGCTGGGATTTTAAAGGTCCCCTAAAGTATAGCACAGCTTTGTTTGATGTGCGATATTATTTCAATAAGGACATATTAAGTAGCTTCTCCCCCTTTAAAATGTTTCTTGAAATTAAATAAAGTATTTTAGATGTTAGTATCAGTATTGTATTTAGGATATCTATAAGCTGGTTCACACCAAAACAGTGACAAAATTTGCGTATAGATGTTAAAAAACTGATATGAACATGTAAAACTTGTCAACTTTTCAAATTGTGACCAAACAAATGCCCTCTAGTACATGTCTTGCCCCCTTCAAGATGCTTCACATTTGATAGGCTTGAGCTCAACCACTCCCACTGGCAGAGTTAAAACAATACCTACCATTGGCTGTTTTTTAAAAGGGTGGAGCTACACTATGCCCCACCCTCCCTTCACATTTCAGTTGAGATTACCCCAAACACAGAATAAAAATGCACATTTTAAAGTCTTTCACAGCACCTTTAAAAACATGTCCAAGAGTTTTCTGTTTATTTTACAGTTTAAAAAGTCTATAATCACATGCTAAGTAGGTCTACATGTGTATCCGCTTTAAAAAAATATATATTTAGTGTCAAATTCTAATTAGTTGCATAGATTTATGTACACATCAGATTTTTTTGCACCCTAAATCTTTGCACTTCCAGCCCATATTGCTCCCCTCTGTTGACTACCATTTATTTTGTTTTTCTTATATATATATATATATATGCAACTATTTAGGGGTCCCGGAGGGCCGGTGTCCTGCAAAGTTTAGCTCCAACTTCCTTCAACACTCCTGCCTGGAAGTTTCAATGGCTGTGTCCGAAATCGCATACTTCCAGCTATGCTAGATAGTGTGTACGCTAAAAAAATATGCAAGCCAAGAGGTATTGTTTGTTTGTTTGTTTAGACTTATTAATCCCAAAGGGAAATTCATGTCACAGCAGAGCTCTCAATACTAAAGATAAATAAAATAAATTACATATAAAAAGACAATAATCAAAATAAAATTAATAAAAGTATGTCTAATTCATAGAATTCAAAAAACAGTATGAGAGAAGTACCTGAATGACTTACTATTTTCAGCAAGATTTTGAAGTGCACATCCATGCATGCTGTGCTATCCCATGATGCCCCACGAGAGAATTCATGAATGGGAGTGAAGCGATGCAATTGACGCAGATAGGTCACGTGATCATGACAAAATGGCAGATGTAGTTTGTCCGAGATACATTCATACTGCTCACATTCATCCTGTATAAAATGTATTTTTCTAAAGGTCTAGTAGTACATTTAAATTCAAAGGTAGTACTACCTACTGAGTAGTATAGGCGATTTTGGACGTAGCCTAGTATACCTACAAAGAGCTTGATTTGCTGGTTCATGTGTGTTAAATATGGGTTTAAACTAAACTTTGCAGGACCACTCCAAGACCGAGTTTGGGCACTACTGGTTTAGGCAAACCCTTGGTATGAATGTCCGCATACATTTGAATAAGTGATCGAGTTCAACTGCGTCTTGTAGTTGATAGACTGCTTCTGATTATAATGAGCATTTGATTGGTCAGAAAAAATTAAATTTGTTATTTTTAATATTTATTTTTTATTGAGCAAATGATTTACTCACTCTAAAGCTGCAGTCACACTGCACTTTTCTCTGCATAGTCTTCTATTCATATGCAGATGCGTCAGACCGAAAACGCAAGCTTGTGTGACAAGTTTTCGCAGTTCGCTGAGTTCACCAGTTTAAGCTTGGTGAACTCTGACCTGCAAAATTGCATCACATGATTGTGTGAGACCAATCGAGTATCAAAACATGACCTTTCTTTACATATATTTAAAACATGGACTGATCGTTTGCTTTTTTTAATGTCTAATCATCTTGTTTAATCCCGCCCCTTTTCGCAGCACTGTACAACAGAATTTAGCAAGCTCAAACTCTAGTGTGACTGCAGCATAATGTGTTTCCAAATCATTATGAGTTTCTTTGTTCTATTGAACATAAACGAAGATATTTTGAAGAACGTGGAAACTGCTAGCAATTTGCATTTATAGTAGGAATAAATGGACGTCAGTTTCCAACATTCTAATATCTTCTTTTGTGTTCAACAAGAAAAGAAACTGAAACAGCTTTGGAACAAACAGCTTTTATGGATAAACTATTCATAAAACCCCATTCTATTTTGATTTCAGAGAGGCTTTAACGCATTGCACCATTGTACACTTGCTCTTGCATTTCAGTGTGGTTGTCACAGAGATGTGACTTTAAACACAGCAACACACAGATGTTTCGGGCTAAGTTTACTTCCTTGAACTTGAATGAATGCAGGTTGGTTGCTGTGCACTGCAATCACATGCTGTTCTCTCCGCGTCAGTTACTGGCACAGACCCCACAGTTACTGCATCCTCTCCAATGATGAGAACAACCAGACTGCAGACTTGTGCACAGATCTTGACTTGAGCAGCCCGGCGGTTTGATTGTGTGAAGGCTGCAAGATTGGTTTTGGTTCTGCATGTGGAAGTTTCAGAAGGAGGCATTGATAGGGGTGAAGAGGTGGTTGTGCGTTTCCTTTTTGAAATAGAGAAAGAGATCCTGTGGAAATATGTGTTAAATTAAAACAGATATCTACAGTTTGAAACGACAGTTAGAGCATGCTGTTGCTTTTTTTTTTTTAAATAGATACAAGAACATGAGGAGAGGAAGTGGGTGGGAGATTTATTGTTTTTTCGCTAATCTACCTTATGTCTGCTACATTAAAATGACATCCTGTTATGATGAAAATGTAATATGAGAAGGACAAAAAAGTACAAACTGAGAAATCAACAGTGACTGAGCATTTGCCACAACAAAAGGTGTTTCGAAACGCACACATTTTGGAGCGTGACGCACAAACACTGACAGAGCAAACCGCACTTTGAACGGGAACTACAGAATGTTTCTGTAGACACACTTGGTGTCAGATTCTGACTACCTCTATTTCAGATTTATCATGAAGGGCTCCATCTGAAATTCACACGAAGGGTTTTGAAACTTCTCAAGGAGGAAGTGACACCTGATTAGCAATCTGTCAGGTTGGATCTTCACTACCAAGAAGTGAACCATCATGCAACTTCTAATGTTTACTAAGCATTGTTACTCATGTAATGTATAGCCACTTTTAAACTGACCATTTTTATGAACTGACTTTTAAATAGACTTATGGTTTGGTCTACATTAATTACAAACATATAAACAAACATGTAAGGCAATGGCCTCAAACTCAATTCCTGGAGGGCCGCAGCTCTGCAGAGTTGGGTCTCTAGTAGTCTTGAACACCTTGATTAGTTGGATCAGGTGTGGCTGATTAATGTTGGAGAGCAGTGCAGAGCTGCTGCTGTCCAGGAATATAGTTTGTGACCTATGATATAAGGTAATAACACACTTTCCCCCCTTTTTATATGCATGGACAGTGTATTCAATGTTTTGCACTGCCAACTAAGATATGGTTAATAGGATATTTTCCCAAAATATGAAAATTCTGTCATCATGAGATTTTGAAGAATGTTGGAAACTGGTAACCAATTACTTCATTGGTATTAGTTTTCCCTACTATATATGTCAGTGGTAACTGTTTTTTCCAACATTCTTCAAAAAATATTATTTTTGTACAACAGACAACAATTAAAGAGTCAGAGTTGGTAAATAATGACAGAATTAATTTTTTTTGGATTGAACTATCCTTTTAACAGCAGAAGTGCTGCAGAACACATCAATCTCAAAGTTTTCCAACTAATCTATTGAATATTTAAATGACTTGTTCATAAAGTCAAAGTCACGTATCATTTGACCCCTTATACCCCCTTTTGACTATGTTCATAAATATAGTCCTCTTGAAGAAGTGATTAAAAAAGCCAGTAAATTTGAACACTGAACTGAAATGTATCTCCAGCTCCAGTAGAAATGAATGTTAGCTTTTAATAAATCATTCATTGACTTACAAAGTCATTTAGGTTCAATGCCAATTCTACCCCTTAGCCCTTGCCCTTACCCAATTCTCTTTAGCTTGAAGGCGTGCAGCTAAGCGGAAGGGCTAGATACCCATTGAAACAGAGATTTTTCAGGACCACACTCAAAACCAAGGAGTACAAAAATTTCCCAGAATACACCAGCTGACACTGAAGTAAGATGCACAAATTAGCATTTTAGTCATTATTATGATTTTTTACCACAAACAAGCATATGTTTTAATATATTTATAACCGTGTTCTTGTTTTACCGTCATCCTTTTAAAAAAAAATACTAAAAAAAAAAAAAAAACGCTTAATTTTGCTATCTACACTGTAAAAAAATCTGTAATTTTAAATGTAATTTTACACCCCAGCTGCCGGGAAAATTTAAGCAGAAATTAAAATTTAAGCAAATTTCTGTAATTTAATGGCCCCTATTTTAAGTTTTTTTCCCCAGCAGCTGGGGTGTAAAATTGCCATAAAATACGGATTTTTTTAAAGTGTATAATCCATAATAATAACTCCTGTATAGCAGTCCCACAACATTCTGACACTAAATGACAATGGAATACGCTGTCAGAAAAATCTAATGGCTGGGAATGATTTTTTACAGTGTCTGCTATAATGTTAATGTTGTTTTTGTGTTTACATAAATAAATATATGGTCACAATGTAAATACACAGTACAGTTATGATCTTATTGCCACATTATATCGTTATGATAACATGATATCATTGCCTTCAGTGATTTCTTGAAGATAAATACCAAAAAAAAAAAAACGCAACTGCAGCAGTCGCATACGTCGATCTCATATGAAGCAAGAGATCAAGATGACACATGATGACGTGTGCATGTGTTGTAGTGCTGTCCCATTTCTTAGAGGTAAATTTTGAAGCCCTCCCCCTTCACACTCTGTTTCAAGGGCCAAGGGAAAGGGGTAGGGTACAAAATTAGAATTGGGCCTTATTTTTCACCAAGTATAGTTTGTTTACACCAAGCATCATCTGCCTGGATTTATTTTTTCATCTTGTATTTGAATTACCATTTAATTCCAGCAATACATAATTTTTCTTGTTTGGAAATTTAAATGAAAATTAAGAACTGAGCATTGCACTAAGCATTTATTGACCATATATGTATATATGTACACTACCGGTCAAAGGTTTGGGGTCAATAGGATTTTTAAATGTTTTAAAATAAGCATATCCTGCCCATCAAGGATGCATTTATTTTATCAAAAAATACAGTACAAATTGTAAAATGTTATTGCAGTTTAAAATAACTGTTCTAAAGTGTGCAGTTTAACGTTTATTCCAGTAATTTTAAAGATGAATTTTCAGCTTCACATGATCCTTCAGAAATCACTCTAATATTAATTATTATTATTATTATTATTATTATTAATGAAAATAGTAATAAAAGCAATAATGACTGAAGTGATAAATACATTTGAAAAGACATATAATAAAAGCAGTTATTTAAAATATAAAAATTTATCAATATTTGTACATTTAATAAATGGCGCCTTGATGAACAGAATCATTTTCTCAAAAAAAAAAAAAATATGAAAAAAAAACAGACCCCAAACTTTTGACCGGTACACTGCAAAAAATGCTTTTCTTGCTTAGATTTTTTTTGTCTTGTTTCTAGTCTAAATATCTAAAATTTCTTATATCAAGAAGCATTTTTTAGACAAGCAAAACATATTGCCTTGTTTTGAGAAATATTATGCCAATATTAAGTCAGTTTTTCCTTAAAACAAGCAAAATAATCTGCCAATGGGGTAAGCAAAATTAATATAAAATTAACTTAATATTGGCATAATATTTCTCAAAACAAGGCAATATGTTTTGCTTGTCTAAAAAATGCTTCTTGATATAAGAAATTTTAGATATTTAGATTAGAAACAAGACAAAAAAAATCTAAGCAAGAAAAGCATTTTTTGCAGTGTAGTGTTTTTATACACCATTCTATCAATTCTATATTTTGTTTAATCATTACCTAAATTTTTCTGTCTTTTACCCATGACTCTCAGAGTGCAGGAGTGTCCAGGAGAGTGAAGAGTTAGTGATCAATGCAGTGGCCACCATCAACAACCTCTCTTTCTACCCGTCCCAGAGCTCAGTGATCCGTTCCCAACACACACACATCTCCCAGTGTAAGACATCTCACAGTGAGTGCATGTGTGTGTACCCATCCTGTGTGTCGCATCTGTCTTTGTAATCTCCCCCCGGCCTGTCCTTCTGTCACCGCAGTGCTGCTCAAGCTCTTGCTGGGCTCCAGTATGGATGCAGTTTTGGAGGCCACGCGGGTGTTTGGAAACCTGTCACAGATCAAAGACGTGAGACGCTTCGTCATGCAGCACAAAGGTGTGAGACGCTCTCTTCCACTTCTTCTGTCATCAGACCCCCAGAGTCTGACGCCGGCCTTGTTTTTTTTCTCTCAGTGGAGCAGTTTGTCATAACCCTCCTGGACTCCAAGAGCCCTGATGTGTGTTTCTCTGCATGTGGAGTTCTCATCAACTTATCTGCAGATCCCGACAACAGGGCCATGCTGAGCGCCGAGGGAGCCGTTCAGAAGTAAATCTCGCCTCTCGCTTTTTTGGTGCGCCAATTTTTTCGACTGACGTTTAACAGTATTATGTTTTCTCTCCAGGCTTGTTGACTGTCTGCGTGACTTCGGGCCTCAGGACTGGCATTTAGCCGCTGTGGTGTGTCAGACTCTGTGGAACTGCTCTTTAGATGGAGAGCTCCAACACGCTCAAGAGCTTCTGGAGATCTTACGGCTTTACACAGGTATATATGAACACACAAGCACCAGGACTTAGTTTAACATGGTTAGACAATTACAGTTGAAGTCAGAATTGTTAGCCCTCTTGAATTATTTGCCCTCCTGTATATTTTTCCCCAATTTCTGTTTAACAGACAGATTTTTTCAACACATTTCTAAACATAATAGTTTTAATAACTCATTTCTAATAACTGATTTCTTTTATCTTTGCCATGACAACAGTATAATATTTTACTACATGGTTGCAACATAGACTCATTCTGAAAATGAAGCCTTACGTATATACTAGGGATGTAACGGTATCAGAATTTCACGGTACGGTAATACCTCGGTATGAATGTCATGGTACGGTATTTATTGAATCATTTACAGGAAAAAGAAAACTTATGAAAATACTCCAAAAAAGTGCCAAAAGTGTCAATGACATACAAATTAGTCATCTATCTGTAAGCTTTGAAACAGGAACTTCAATTTTAATAACAAAAAAATATTAAACCATGTAAAAAAATAAAGTTTCAATTTAGTATTGTTGAAAACTCATCACATTCAACATTTAATCACTCACTCACTTAGATAGAGATGGGTTTAAAGGAAAATTAACATATAAATATAATCTGGTAAAAGCTGGTATCTCTGGGCATTTACAATGTCCCCTGCAACAGAAAAAAAAACCTCTCATTTGGGACTGAGGTTTCTGGGACAAGAGAGATATGACTTGGCCCAGGTTGACAGCAGTGGGTAACGTTGTGCATTGTCTTTCCCCCACTTGAGAGGACAAACCATGAGTAAGATAGAGGTCTCATGTCTGCATCAATCTGAACAGTGTGCTGACAACACCGCTATTCAGTACGCGCGCGACAACACAGCTGATAAGAACTCGCGCGACAACACCGCTATTCAGAACGTGCGCGGCGACAACACCCGCTTTAGAGTTTTCCAGCTCTTTTTCATCCCCGCTTCTAGCAGCACACTCCATTTCCGCATTACTGTATCTGTAGCGACAACAGACCGCAAGGGATGATGGTCAAGCATGGGCTGATGGGAATTGTAGTTTTCGCTACCTCCCGTTCGCTTCATTCGCCTGAGCAAATTTTCTCAGAAGACCTATAGTTTTACCGAGTCATGCGACTACGGTAATATCGAAAAAAATTAATATTGCGGTATGACGGTATTTACAATACCGTTACATCCCTAGTATATACGTTTCTGGAGATCGTGAATTATGCACTCAGAAGTACATATGGCTACATTTCGTCTTTAAAACAAATGATACGGGGCAGTATGACACCGTTCCTTTTCGCGCTTACTAGCTGACTGCTTACTTCCATATGGACAGCTTTCTTGCTGTTACTAGTTTGTCGAGTAAGATCGTTATGTAAGCAATGCAGAGAGGAGTTGACCACGACAATGGGGTTTGAGTCAGGCAAACAACAGTTCCAGAAAACAGGTAAGACAAAAACAGAAGCCAAAAATTAAATAAAATGAACAAGCAAATAACAGGGTGAGAATGTGGTAAACTCTAAAAATGGGGTAAAAATCAGGCAAGGGCTTTTCTTTTTCTGGATTGCTTTTGAAAACACTGTCGCTTGGGTTTAGGGAAGTGGGTGGTCGGGTCAACTGGTGCTTTTGAAAACACTATTGGTTGGGTTTAGTGAAGGTGGGGGATGGGTCAGTTGATCAGTCAGTCAGTGCGAATTGCAGTTGCGAGAGAAATTTGAGATCTGAAAAAGTGTACACATTGGCCTCTGGTGGATTTGCTAAAACAAAAACGTAGCTCCTGGGACGTATTTGGTGCTCTCCAGAAATGTATATAATGGTACATTTTTAGAATGAGCCTGGGTTAGATATTGTTCAAGATACTACAGCTTAAGTGACATTCAAAAGCTTAAATAGGTTAATTAGGCAAGTCATTGTATAATGATTGTTTGTTCTGTAGACTATTGAAAAAATATATTGTTTATTAAGGGCTAATAAAATTGACCTTAAGAATTCTTTGGTATGTCAAACATTATTTGGGAAATATTTGAAAAAAGAAGAAAAAAAAAATCACAGGAGAGCTAATCATTTAAACTTTTATACGGCTATAGATTTAACAAGTTGCTGGTCCATACTGACATGATAGCATCATGCATATTCTGTAGTTTCTCTTTTAAATTGAACTACATTTTTGACATCACCTTACCATACTTCAGTTTCTCATCAAATTTTCTGACCAATCAAATACTCTGAAGTATCTGACATGTCCCGCCTCTTCCTTATTTGCTTTTCATTTGATGAGCTTGATCTTAAAAACTCACTGGCAGAGCTGTGATAACAAAGAAACGCTATTAGCTGTTTTTAAAGGGGAGGAGCTACTATATGTCCGGCCTAGCTTTCAGTTAAAATTATGTCACACATCAAACAAAAATGCACATTTCAAAGCAATTAACAGGACCTTTCAATTTTTGCCATAAATTAAGAATTTAAGAACGCAAAAACATTCTCTTTATATGTTCTGTCTTATGTTCTTATTTATTTATATTTCTTTTTTAAGTTCACTAATATTACACCAGTAACTGACCACAGAATAGTCCCACATATGCTTGACTGGATATCAGAATTAAAAGTCCAGCAGCAGGGACTTTTCTTATCTTTTACTGCACATATGTTATAAATACATAACACTAATTACTGTTGTTTTTTGTAGTTACATCCATGAATAAACAAACACGATGCAAATAAACACTGTTTACAGTTCCGTGTTTACACAATGTTCAATGACGTGCAATGGTGTAGTAGTGGTGTCCTATTTCTTAGGAGCATATTTTTACTCCTAGCTCCTGCTACTCTGTTTCAAGGAGCAAAGGGTAGCTATAGGTCAAGGGGTGTAAAATAGAATTGGAATTCGGCCAAATCCACCTAACTGTATGTATGTAACCTCTGGCAGTTACATATGGGAGGGTGAGGGGTGACAAAATGTTTGTTAAATATGTACTCTAGAAGGCAATGCGTAGTGTATTGACCTGATTTTTCACATACAAGCGGACAATGCCATTGCAATCTTTACAGGCTCGAGACTCTTATTCACTTCCATTGATTTTTAGACGTTAAAACTCATTTTGCTGCTTAATGTTGCAAACTGATATTTCCTTATTACATTACTTTTCATATTGTCATACTTTTTGTGTGTAGTTATGAACACACTTGTTTGTGGAGCAAGTAGTTTCTGCTGTTCATAATTCCTAGTCATTTCTCCCATATGCAACTGAATATGCTTATTTCATGCGGCCGCCATTTTAAAAAACGAAAGTGAGGCTGTGGTGGGAAGAAACCCGGAAGTAAAGGATCAGCACTGTAAAGATTACAACAACACGCTGTGGACTACAAATCTCCAGGTGTTGTCGTGGTTTCAAAATGAAGAAATGGTGTAAACTTCACTTTAATATCATTTAGTTCAGTTTAATTTAAACAATTAAAAGCATATTAGGCATCAAACAAAATCATAATCTCTTTAAGAGTAATAACCTTAAGTGTCCTCCTAGGCTTCAGTTCATGGCACCAGTTAAACACTGTGGGGACGCTTCCCTGCATCAGCCTATGTAACCCAGTGAGCGATTAAACAATGCAGTCCTTTGTAAAATGTTTGGAGCACACCCTTGTTGTTTAAGAAAGCGCTTAACAGTGCTTAAATGATGGAAATTGACGTTTTTTAAATTTATTTCAGTAACGTTACCAACATTCAGTATCGTGGCGAGTCTAATATAGTGAAAGAATCAGTTCATTAACTTGAGTTTGATAAATGGCATCTAAAATGTGTGTTTGGGAAAGAAAATGTTAGCTAACTAGTGCCATTTCCTTTAATTTAGTTGAAAATGAGGTCCTATATCCCTTTTTATTTTCACTATCCATTCAGAACCGCCAGGTAAACAGGTGATACTTTCGCCTTCTTCTCACCACAGCCTCGATTTAACTTTTAAAATGGCTATAACATTGACGAATAAGGTCAATAGTACATAATTCTGGGCCAAAATGTACACTTTGCATACCCCGCCCCATGTTTTCCAACTAGCTTTCAAAATAAGCCATGGTGCTCTGCTATCAATTTGTGCACTCCCTAGAAAAATAGTAAATAATTTCCAGAAAAAAATATTACGATATTAGACAAAAGCAGATTATAAAGGTTGGGAATATGCAGGATGTAAACTTAAATCGAATTCTACATTGAAAGTTATAGCCATGAAATACGAATCAGTTCTGATGGCAGTTTGGATAATCTAACATTAATTTATTAAAAATGTTACATATTGATTTCCTTAACATAATTCACAAACAAATGCAAATGGTGGCATCTCGAAGAAGACAAAACTATAAGTGCATATATGAAATTATAAAACAGAAAAGATTAATTATTTTACTGTGTATCATGTCTCAATGCTAAGCAGTTTGTGCTAACATTAGCTCAGCTCACCTGTCATCTTCAGAGTCCTCATGTTGTTTACAGCATATTTTGCCACGTCACAAATCACATCTCAATAAACTAAAGTTCTGCAAACTGTCCTGAACCAATAACAGAAAAGTTAGTTCAGTCTTGAGCCCTCTGGTTTTGAGCAGAATGTTTTAAATCGTTAGCTAGCAGTTATTTTAGTAACAGCGCCATTAACAGTTGATTGTGATCTGTCCACACAAACGTTTCCATTCACTTCTCTGGATTTCAATAATGTGTCAAATTGTAAATTACCCAGTCTTTATGTGTAACTGCTGTCTTTGTTGGCGTTGCAAGTCCCACACTTTCGTCTAATTTCTTGTTAACTGCATATCAATCAAGATAATTTATTGATAAAAGCTACTATGAGAGAACATCGTGGACAGTGACGGCGCAAAGAATATCGGTGTTGTGATTGGCCGGATCGCCTGTCAATCAAACTGCCGCAAAGAATCAGTGAAAAACATTTTGTCTTGTGTTTTGGACAGACAGAGAAGCTTTGCAGTGGCCTTCTGAAGACGGAGTCAGACAGGTTCAGGAAGCACGCTGGGAGCTGCTCTTTCTACCAGTAGCTGAAAGGCTGAGACAACGTTTACATATTGAAAACACCACTGGAATCATTCAATAAGCACAAGTGATGCACAGCCTTATCTCCAGTCTTCACAACCACAAACAAGCTGGTGTGTATAATGCACTTTAAGACAAGTTAATACTGTATATAGGCTACTGTTCAAATAATTATATACAAATAATACTATTCGAATGTTTATTATTCAACAGAAAATTGCTGTAAATTACATTCAAAGATATTATGAAGGCAATAATCATGTGTATAAATCCACTCACGACACTATCAATCATCTTAAAAGACTTTATTAAACAGACACTTCCAGAAAAGTCTGTAAGGAACACAGAATAGAAACATTGTCATACTTGCTTAATACAATCACATCAAACCTATATACTGTAATATGGCACTGGCTTCCCTCCTTTTGCCCTGACAGTTACACTTTACAGCTGAAATACATTAATATGAAGTTAACACAGCTGCCCTAGAGGTGAGCTATACATGCTTAAAATGTGATTTTGTTGGTGAATTGTATTTAATTACTGTGTGGCTTTTAGTCTTCAGTGTGAAGTCTAAAGCAGCACATCTCTAAGGGACTTTATTCAGAAAATATAAACATTTTTAGGAGTTGAAACCAACTTCTTGTCATTTACTTTTAAAATGAGCAACTAGCCTATGGTGATTTCCAAACAATGACCATTTACTGGCACCAAATGGCCTCGGATGATAGAGGGAAATTTGTAACTATGGGAAAATTTTATTATTTTTGTAAAAGGGATAGTTCCCAGGTCAGCACTGTGACTTTCTTTTATCCATGCTGTGAGAAGATGAATTGCTACCTTCAACATTGTGTGTTTAAATCATTAGTGCACAGCATGGGACGCTTTACTTTAGGCTTGTTTTGATACATAAAACTTTGATATAAGGGCGAGTAGTTGTCATCAAAACATTAATTATGTGACCTAAAGTTACATAAATGATATCCTAAAGTGTGTTATTCTTGTTAAGCACACAAATATGAATGAGAAAAGCTTTAGTTCTTGTGGTACGGCCTGTTTAAATCTTTTAATACTAAATAACAGTGATTGTTTGGTGCAATGTATCATTTTACTGTGAGTTTCTGGGAAGAAAGCAAAAATGATTAAACTACAAATGAAACAAGTGAAATACAATGTTTTATTTTTCTTTCTTTTTTTATCAAATATTTTCTTATAAAAGTGTCAGTAACTGACATCAGTCTCTCAAGTCTGACTTAAAACCTCCTCATATCCATTTCCAAAGAAAAAAGTACCATCCCTCTAGTCCTGCCATCATCAGAATGCAGTACTTAACTGGTTTTAGTAAACAAAACAAAAAAAAGACAGCAGAGAATCCACCCTGCTTGAAAAGAACACACACGCTCACTCGAAACAAAACTGCTTAGTTACACTGGTTAAAGTTCTGAGAATGAGAACAAGCATTTAACCCCACAGCCGCACGGGTCGCCTGGTTCTTAGAGACTACGTCTGTACAGATTGCAGCCCACAACATTGTAAGACAAAAGTTCAGCTCACCAGACAGCACTTAGATATTTAAGGATACAACAGGAGGTATTTAGTTATAATAAACCCCAAAATGACAACAACAAAAAAAAAAAGCTTGAGTTTAGATGACCGTGCATTACAAGGAAGACAGATAAGGCGGATGGATCAGAGCAACAGGAAGCACATCACAAAAGGAAGACCTTTTCGCTTTAAAAGTCACTAACACACAATAAAAAAAGAGATAGGAAACGGTCATCGAAACAAAATGGCTACATAACAGCTGAAGCTTAACATTTTTTTTTCTTAAAAAAGTGCTTTGACATTTTAAATGCATGAAAACCCCAAAAGAGCCTATGTTTGGATTTTTTTAATCCCCCTCCCTCACATAGCATTCACACATTGGAAATGTGACGAAAAGTGGTGTCTTACAGTAACCTATAAGAAGGGCTCAGAACAGCTATTACTTTTGAATTGCGCTCTCACACTCACATTAACACAATCGTTCCTGGATTAGCTTATACAAATGGGTGATGGTTTGGGTGTCTTGAGGCCTCTCAGTTGAGAAAAGCAGCATGAACAGACGGCACCTCGGCATCTGTTGCCAGTGCTGCGCATGACTAGGCACGCGTTTATGCAAAAATCAGTAATGCTTCTATCTCTAGCCACTGCTCAAATTTTGTTTAAAAACAATATAAAACGATATGAAACGAAACATACTAGTAGATAGGCATGTTAGTGCAGTCTATCTGCACCATTGCTGGAGTTGCTATTTGTGTGTGTGTGTGTGCATGTTGTTTTTTTTAATCTCACAAAAAGAAGATATGATTATATAGCATCTTATCGCAGATGCATTTGAAATACTAAAGGAGGCCTGGCCTCCAGAAGCTCGCCGTTTCAGCTTGTCCTCTTGAGAAACTGAATCCCCTCAGACGCCCACTAGTGGAGGCTGAGAGGACACACAAGTGATTCAGCAAGTAAGGTTTGGTTGTTTTTTTTTTCTCCTTCTTTTATCAAAACAACCTTGTCATTGTCCTCCAGTGCGGCCACTCAATCGTTCTTCCTCCTCCATTTTATGTTTTTCCATTTTTTTGTTGTTTTTATGTTTAATAAAGTGTCCCACTGTAGCAACATCAACAACAACAGTAAACTATTAATTAAGAAGGTCGACAAGAACAGCACTTCATGTCATGTAGCGAGTGATAGCTCTCAGAGCGTAGAGCAGTTCTGCCTGCATGCGCGCTTCCATAAGAAGCAAATTAACGTGGACCTGAAAGACACAACGAAAGAGGATTTAAATTAAAACAATCTTTCTTTTTTAAATGTAATTTTTTGGTGTTTTCTGAAGCCTTTCTTACTTTCTCAGAGTGCCGGAACTGTCTCCAGAAGCTCTCGTACATCCTCTTGGTGATTTTCTCTGGACTGCACACCATTGTTTTGATGTAGACTTTAAAACTGCGGTCTAACAGTTGGTTAATTTCTCCATAATCATAATCGTCGTACCTGCCACGCAATAGGAGAAAGAGATATTTTAATGACTGGAGGCGACAAATAATACAGTACTCATTAAGACTAAAATTGCATTTTGTAAGCTGTGCACTACTAAAATACATTTTTCACATTTTTATTCTTTTTTTTTGCCTACAGTTATTCTAGTATGTAAAATAGAAAAAAAAAACATATTTGCCAGTTATTTTTTATAAATGTGTGTTATACATTTTACACACACACACACACATATATATAAATATATATATATATATATATATATATATATATATATATATATATATATATATATATATATATATATATATATATATATATATATATATATAGTAATTCTTAAAGCATGATTGTGTAATATATATAGTAACTAATATATACAGTAATTCTTACAGCATGACTGAATCTATGAAACGTTTGTAAAACAGTGAGCAGTAGAATGACTGACCGAATCCCGAACATGCAGTGGATGTAGTTCCAGATGGCTCTGCGGAGCATGGAAGTGTCCACACCCTGATGTGTTGCCATTGTGTTGTATGTCAGATTGAACGCGATCTGAAACTTTTCATCCAGAAGTTGGCCGAAATCCGAATACAGCCGATTCACGAGGGAAAATCCATGATCTTCCCAACTGTAGTCCTGTTAAGGGCACAAAACATAGGGCTGTTAATGTAATCCTAATTTTTCTTTGGTAGTCAAAGGCAAAGATGATGTCCCTTCCTCTCACCTGCACTCTGAGAGTTGGTACATGTTCTCCTCTCCTGGAGAAGTCTTTATAGCCATAACTAGGGTCTTCAAAGTGTCGCGAAACATCTCTGGATGGCACACACTCCTCATCTTCTGTTGAGCAAACACGATGATTTATTGTGATTGAGTACCAGTAATAATTAATCCCAATAAAACAGGAAATCAGCATATTCAGATTTCTGAGCGACTTTGGGATTTAAATACATTAATAGACATTAATCATTTTCATCTTAATTGTATTTCACAATTTTATCGTTTTTTTTATCAAATAAATAGATGAGGAAAACAGGCTTGGAGTAATGTCTAACGTACTGATATGAAACATTTTAGTGGAAGCATCTACTTACCAGAGGTGACCACCAGCATACACTCCGTCTTCTCCCTCTCAAAACGAGTGGCCATTTCCTCCTGGCTGGCTTCTTCTTCATCACGACATTCCTGAAGCTGCTTCATCCTCTCCATGAGCACTTCCACCTCACCAGATGATTCTGACACCTAAAACATGCATACAGGAGTCTAGATCAACACAAACGTAATGTACGTTGTACTGAAATTTGAACCTCACATTCCACAGGTTTTTGCGATCATTTTTTCGTTGAACGTTGGCCTGTGTCTCACCTGCTGGTTCCCAAACATATCCTCCTGGGCACCGTTGCCATTGGCAATGTCACAAACGCAGTACCCGCTGAGTGAGGGCGGCCTGAACGTGTGTCCTCCATCTGTGTGGATGTCAGGGGTGATGCCGCAACCAAACGTGAAGGAGGCCAGAGAGTGATAGTGTGTGAGTAGCACCACAGCATGGATCAGCTCAGCCAGGGACCAGCTGTGCTCCTCTGCCTTCAGCAGACGCTGTTATTTAGAAGAAGGAGAAAAACATATACATTTCAATGACAGGCAGGAGTTTCCACAACAAAAGAAATAGAGTAATATTTGAAATATCTAAAAGATGCCAGGTTCTTAGAAATATACTCTCACTATTTATGTGGTTTTGAGGGAAAAAAAATCCAAAACTTTCAGTGTAGTTTCAGTTTAATGACTCATCCAGTATCGCTACTGTTAAAATACCATTCGTAAATACTTAGAAATAAAGAATTACACCAACCTATGAAGTAAAGCTTGTTGTTCAAAGACTAAATTGTTTTACTGAGACTTCTTTTGTGAAAGTCTCAACTTTTTTTCACCAAAAACCAAACAGAATACATTTTTATTCAGAAATTAATATTAAATTAACATAAATTTAACTTATACTGAAATGAACATGCTCATCACAGAAGTGATGCGTTCAAATCACTATCTGCATGTGTTTATCATGAATTAATAGCACCATGTATCTAAAACATTAAATGCTAATAAAATAACCCCATTTAAGCTCGTTTAAATCCTATCTACTGAAACCTGATCAGTTTTCATACTTCACAGTATCGTGTAACAGCATTATAAAACATCTCGATGCTCATTACAGTTGCATAACAACTGTTGGCGAGTTTCCACGAGTGACCGTGAGGCTGAAGTCATACCTCAATGTGTTCTTTGGTGAGCAGCCAGGGGCGGTGGGCCAGGATCTTATTGAGCTCCCCGAGAGCCTGCAGCTTCCGTGGGGCTTCTTCCAGACCATTCAACCACTTCGGATCACCTCCGACCTGCAGGAAGTCATTCACGTGCAGGTTGACCAGATACGTGCACTGGTGCCTAGCAGCAGCCTGTTGAACACAGACACAAGCATTTAGAACAAGCTACCACTGGGGTTTTTGAATTTCATACAAAAAATACCGTCTGCAACCTCACCATTATTCCAATATAATGCCTGCAGTGCAGAGACAATGGACCGTCCATCTGAAGGAGGTAATGTTGTGTCCTAAGAAAGCTCTCCAGATATTGAGGATGAAACCCCATGACCAAGGAGATGTTGTCGAGGCGACCAAGCACTGCAAAGGCATCCTCAAAAATCGACTGTGTCCTTTCATCCAATTTACTGACTTGAAGTATCTGGGACAACAGGGGAGTAGAGACGCGGTGAACCTGAGGAATTCAGTGCTGGTAAAATAACTTCACTAAAGTGTATGATAAATGCTGTTTGTGCGATTAAAAATAACAGAGGTGCCATTTGTTGATTAAAAATGATTGTTGCCAGATTTATGTTAACTTTGAGCAAGCGGGGCAGATGTTAACGCTCACCTCTTTCTCTGGTATAAATCTACTTGGTCCATTTCCCACTGGTCTGGGGATTCGCACTCCAACATCCTAGAAAAGATTGAAAAAAACATGATTACATGATCGAAAACCACAGAGAAGCTCTTGGCATGAAGCTATACTAGTATCGAAGAATTTCTGGCATCAGACCAGAGCTCTTAAAAACAACATCCTTCCTCAGCTCAAACATCAACGGCTGGTTCTAGAATATTCTACGGCATTTAGTAGTAAATAAATCCTTTATAATACATAACCAAAAATGCATTATAATATAAGTAGCAAATGATCATTCATCTTGAACATCATTCATCTTCTCACTGTCAAAGACACAAAGAGAATGACTCAAAACAGCCTAGATACCTTATGAACAAAGGTTGGCTGAGTTTGCAATGCACCAGTGACATAAACATGAAAAATTGCTGAATCAGATAGGGATATGCAAGAAATTGTGCAAAAAAATACATTGTTATTAATTACATTGGTATTAAACTTGACTCCGCAAACAATGAGATCGTCCCCCTGCAGCAGCATACAGCAGTTGCAGACAATGGCATACTGTATATGCATATATGATCTCACAATGTTTATTAAATTAAAAGAAGAATTTGGTCAATGTGACACTAACTTCATATCGTTAGTCATTGATCAATAGCAAGTATATAATGATCAGATGACAGAAAAACAAGCCACCGGTCTTCATGATTCAAGTACAAAGAACTGACTGCACTGCAGCAAACGATCTGAATGAACGAACATATACTGAAATCAACGAACAGAACTCAAAGGAAACAAGTTAACGAATAACATAAAAAGTGTAACAATAAGTCGTTATTTAAACTCGATGTCAAACTCATACGCTTTCTTACCTTTTTACTAAGTCGCTCGCACTGTGTGCAAATTTTAAACAAGTCTGTCATGGTGAGAGAGGAGTTTTCCATAGTTTCATTAGATGCCAATGCGTGCCTCATATTGCGCTGTTCTGCTTTTAAAAATAAAATCTAGAGCGACTGTTCTTTGTATTTGCTTTATCCTGTTGTTCCTTGAGGCATTGGGTTATGCTACCCGTTCATATCAGCTGTTCCAGCTCCCGAGCAGAATACCCACTGCTTCCTAGCCCTCTTGTGGTAAATAACAGGCTGTTAACGTGAGTGACGTGACCAGGAGCCAATCGCGTTGCGAAAACAACCTACGTTGTCCAATCAAAGCCAAGAGGGCGGAATTAAAGACACAACGCCTTCAGCCGACTTAACACTGTACTTCACGCAAAAATATTAATTCTGTCATTATTTGTGGACCAATGCATCATAGAAACATTGAACTATTGCGCATTAAAGCTAAAATACGGCGATTTAGACTACTTTATGCAGAAAAGGATACATTAAAATGATCTCACATTTCCCTTTGTGCCTCACATTAGAGTCATACAGGTTTAAAACAACATGAAAGTAAAATAAACCACGTTGTAAAGCATAACGTAACTAACATTAAAGTCATTTCATGTATTAAGAGTTAATGGAGTGATATGCACTCTGCACTTCTGATAGAGAGCTTTCCTTTGCTTACAGATGCATGACTGGAAAGCTTTCTAATATTGGTTAATACTTAACCGACTTTTAACTTTGTCTTCCAATAAACCTATTTACATGGTTTGTTTAGTAGTCTATATGGCCACAGTTTCAAAAGCCCGATGTAAGGGGCTGATTTAAGTAGCTCGAGCAAGAGGGAGGGGATGTTTTTTCCTTGAGCAAAAGCGAACTGCAGTAAACAAGCCTCGCAACGTGAATGAGGATGACGGCATGGACTACAGTGAAAAACAAGCCAAGATCAATCCCTGCCCTCAGCTTTATATCCCCCACAGGGAACAAGTCAAGACACCTAGCAGATAAAGTGACGCTTTTGGCAGGAGTATTGATTATTTTCTAGGAAAAAGAAGTAGAAGAAAAAAAAAACTTCTACAGGTGCCTTTGGTTTTTCAATACATTTTAAAAATGTTGTTCACACAGTTTAGAGACTGAATCTTTAAATATGAATGCATAACTGCACAATACCTAATGTCTTTATTTGTGCAAATGCACAATCGTAGAATATATACAAGTCCATCTAATTAAAGTTCTGTGCATGAGCAGAAGGCTGTCAAAGCTTTTGGATTTGGCATCGCTCACGAGATGAAGAGTAGCTATTCAGCATGTTCATTGTGTCTGAAGGGACTGTCCTACACCAGGGGGCTGAGAGGGGTGTAAACAGACCAGAGCAGGAGTCAGCACTCTCTCTAGTGATAGAGAGGTGGTTTAACCAGGTCCACTGAGCCCTATGGCTCAGCAAACCTACAGAAGAGAATGGTCAGCGTTTGCCTTGCGCCCACCTCCCGTTTCCCCCTCTTTATTAAAAAAAAGGCAGACTATTATTGTAGAACAAACTTCAGGCTCTACTGTACTCACACCACATCATAACATAGGGCTCTATTGGTTATATAGATAAGAAAATAGACTGCACAAAGAGTTTACTATAGTACTCCAGTCATATAAAAACACCTAACAAAAATCAAAAGCTTGCACAATTGTTGGCAAACACTTAAGTGTTGTCTTTAGAGTCTTTTTCAGTTGTATCATTCCAACTCATTTAACCATCACACATGAGGAACATGCCTGGACATATACATGTACTTCTGAGAAAATACACAAACTATCAATTTTCATTTTATTTCCAAATTAAACATGCCAATCAAGTCAAATTAATCCAATCATCATTACTGTAAGCCGATTGTCTTTACTGTAACCTAAAAACTTACAAATAAAACTAAAGCTTTTCAAAACTCTCATGGTGTCTGTGACTGGAAATCTCTTTAGCCTATTGTTTGTTCAAATATGAAACAGCAGATTTAAACCATTTATTCAAGCCTATATATGTGAATGACAAGACTGGAAAAAGTGACTTCTTCAACATCTTCAGATAACTCTGGCTTTGCCGGTGAAAAACTTTCATATTTGTGTGAACGCGTTCTGTGTAACAGGGTGTGTTTGTAGAAGTGCCTCTCTGTGTGAATATGCGTCTTTGCGCTGTTGTTTTTCTTGTGCTGAACGAGCAGCCATACTAAAACCACAAGCCGTCGGATGTTCAACAAGTGGCAGAAAAAGTTGCCTGACGCAGCCCTCGTCTGAACTGGTTCCATCCTGACCTATCAGAGAGCAGGGGGAAGAAAGAGCGAAAAAAAAATAACACAAAAGACACAAGCCTAGCAACAGGAGTCAGCCAATCAGAGAGCAGAACAACAGTTTCAGGGTCCAATCTGTTTTTTCACCCTCACTCCCCCACTGTAGTGCCTCTGAAAGAAAAAAAAGTAGTCTAACTTCAAAATGAAGTTGTTTCTCGGTCTGTTCAATGACTGGGAGTGATATGTTTTTATGGCTGAATGTATCTGTTGCTTTGTACACTGAAAAAAGTGTTGCAAGTCGACTAAAGTCTTTGCAGCCTTGAACTTTAGACCATATGGTGTGACAATAGTCACAATGTAAAACATAACAATAAAAAGAATGGAAATATATGATTTCAGTGACCCACATTGAGAATTTTTAATTGTTTGCCATTTGTTTTAAATTAACTAAAATCCTATTCTATGACACTAGGAAAGATTATCAGTCAAAAAAAACACTAACTCTGCAGTACATTGGGGTCCCTCTTTTTTTAGTTTTTGCCTCCCGTTAATCTTCAAATTTACATATTAGTTATTGTGAACTTAATGGATGAGCCCTGCTTTGGTGATTATCTTTTTGTTGTAAATACATATTCAAATTAAGTGGTTGAACACGTCTGAACTTGTCCCCATTGTTTTAGGGATTAATGTTATTCTTTGTGCGATTCATAAAAAAAATTATAAAATAAAAAAAAATATCTACATGCTTATTAAGAAAATGTCTTAACAATAGACTTTAACTTTTCTCCCCCTCACTCTCTTTATACATATATAAACATTAGGCATGTACTCTGTACCCTATATACACTCACTGGCCACTTTATTAGGTACACCTTACTAGTCATGGGTTGGATCCCCACTTGCCTACAGAACTGCCTTAATCCTTCGTGACATAGATTCAACAAGGTACTCTCTTAGCTGACAGGAGTGGCACCCGGTTTGGTCTTCTGCTGCTGTAGCCCATCTGCCTCAAGGTTTGACATGTTGTGCGTAATAAGTGGTTATCTGATTTACTGTTGCCTTTTTATGAGCTCAAACCATTCTGGCCAATCTACTCTGACCTCTGGCATCAACATGGTATTTGTGCCCACAGAACTGCTGCTCGCTGGGTATTTCCTCTTTTTTTGACCATTTTCTGTAAACCCTAGAGATGGTTGTGCTTGAAAATCCCAGCAGATTAGCAGTTTCTGAAATACCCAGACCAGTCTGTCTGGCATAAACAACCATGACATGTTCAAAGTCACTTAAATCACCTTCCCCATTCTGATGCTCGGTATGAACTGCAGCAGATCGTCTTGACCATGTCTACATGCCTAAATGCATTGAGCTGCTTATGTTATTGGCTGATTAGAAATTAGTTAACAAACTGTTGGAGAGGTGTACCTAATAAAGTGGCCGGTGAGTGTATGTATGTATGGATAAAGAAGCCAGAATAAATTTTTTTTTTGTCTTTGGTTTTAATAACTTGCACTTGTTAAAATCAACAAGTATCAAAGGCTCATTCTTATTACTGATTTGATTCATTTAATTGGTTACTTCTCTCCAAAATAATAATTTGCATGTCATTTGCACACCCTCAGGGCATCCAAGAACAAGGTCGTCAGGTAATTTGGTTTTGCCTGTAACTTGTTTTTTGACTTTCAAACTGTTGGCAGCCACTAATAAACTTCATTGTACTAATGAAAAAAATCCACCTACGCTACATCTTGAATGACCCGAGGGTTAGCAAACGAACAGTAAATAATTATTTTAGTTTTTTTGGGTTGACTATTTCTTTTATTTTCGTAAAGTTATCAAAAGCAGCTTTATTTTACTAACCCTCCATTCTACAGTTAGTACCTTGTTTACTGCATGTCATCTG